ATCAGTCCAAGCTGGAGACTTTGTGGTTGGTTATTGAGAAAATATCTTAGTAGTAAAAAAAATTNCCGATAGTTCTGATAAAAAATTTTGAAATTCAAAAAAAAAAAACTTCCAGCGACATCATCGACAACTGCAAACTGGAAATCATCTTCTGTGAAAACGCAAAACGTGCCGAGGGCTTTCTATCGTCCAAAACTCCAGAACGTCTTCAATCAATGAAGACATTGATTATTNCCCCTCATCAAAAAAGTGGCAGGTGAGAAAGAAAGGAAGTGTCATAACAGGAATGATATAGTGATAAGAAACGGGTGATCATGTAGTTTGGTGATTTTGTATCTAATTCTTTCAAGATATTGATATATTAGAAAAATAATATGGACACGCTATTTGTTTCGGTTAGAAAAGGCGATGGATGGATGGGGGTGTTGTAAAATGGAGAAGAAAAAGTGGATTAGAATCGGAACCGAGTAGCTGTGAACACATTGAAGGCGTTATACGATGATGGAATCTTTGTGTAAATCGAAGGGGGTAAAAGAGGAAGAAGTATAGGAGGAGGGAAAGATTTAAAAGTTAGAAATGCTTGTAAGTTTAACAAAAAATTTAGTTGGATTTTTGGAAAACCTAGGTTTTTGAAAAAAAAGTTTGAAGAATTCAAGAGAGATCGGTATCTGAAAAATTTTCTGCAGTTTGAAATTAAAAAAAAAAACAAATCTGCAGTTCTAGATAACGATAAACTGTCAAATGATCTAATTTTTACTGATAATTGGTTTTTTTTCTGGAGCAAAAAAAAATTGAAAAACATGTTCCAAAATTGGGTAAACATGGCATAGAGCACGAGTTGAAATAGGACTTTGTACGGTCAAAAATAGACTGTACTTGAGGAGAAAAATCAAATTTTCGAGTTTCCAGATTTTCAGTTTGATATTATTCAAATTTTGTATAGTTATGAAAAATCGAATTTTTAGAATTTTTTCAAAAATGTCAAATGTCTAAAATTCCAAGGAACAAGCAAGAAATCAAAAAATTATAGAAAATAAACAAGAACTGGAAATGGATTGTGCCTATTTATATGCACCTAACTATCTTATCTATGCAAGTTTAGAGAAAGGCTACTGTAGTAGCCATGGGGGGACTACTGTAGTTTTAGATGGAGATAAGACAAAGTTACAACCACCTCGCATTTCCATCCATTAAGTTTGAGAACGAGGCATTTTTTATCTTATCAAATTGGAAAGTACAAGATTTAAAAAAGGGATACCGACAAATAGACAGGGAGAGGTATGAATGGCAAAATGTACTTTTTGGAGACATTTTCTAAGGGTGAAGTACACTCCTTGGGATATGTTTTGAAATCTTTTTTGTCCAGGAAAATTTTGGAATTTTGAAAAATCGTCAAAAATTTTAAAGAAAAAGGAATTTTAATTTGGAAATTTTGGTAATAGTTGTTTGAGAATATTTCCGAAATTCTGAATTTCTGGACTTCCGGATTCCTGAATTCTTGATATTCTTAGATTCTGAGATTCTGAGATTCTGAGATTCTGAGATTCTGAGATTCTGAGATTCTGAGATTCTGAGATTCTGAGATTCTGAGATTTTGAGATTCTGGGATTCTGAGATTCTGAAATTCTGAAGGCCTGAAATCCTGAAATCCTGAAATCCTGAAATTCTGAGATTCTGAGATTCTGAAATTCTGAGATCCTGAATTTCTGAAATTCTGAATTTCTGGACTTCCGGATTCCTGAATTCCTGAAATTCTTAAATTCTGAGGTTCTGAGAATCTAATGTTTTGAGATTCTGAGATTCTGAGATTCTGAGATTCTGAAATTCTGAGATCCTGAATTTCTGAAATTCTGAATTTCTGGACTTCCGGATTCCTGAATTCCTGAAATTCTTAAATTCTGAGGTTCTGAGAATCTAATGTTTTGAGATTCTGAGATTCCGAAAATTCTGAAAATCTGAGATTCCGAGATTCTGAGATTCTGAGATTCTGAGATTCTGAGTTTTTGAGAATTTGAGAGTTTGGAACAATGAGATTTTCGAATATTCTGATAATTTTGGATTTTGGATTTTCAGAATTTCTAAATTTCAGAATTTTTTTGAATTTCTGAACTTCTGAATAATTTTCGAATTTTCGAGTTTGGCAACGAACCAATGTTTTTTCGAAATCGAAATTTGTAATTGAAAGATAATACGAAACAAAATCCCCAAGATTAGCCCCCAGATTTTCACTCATTATTGAACAAATGTACCGCCGTCTACAGTAACATTTTGAAGTGTGAAAATTTGTGAAAATCCCCAAAGTAAACAAAAAAGTTTTGAGAGTGATCTTCAATTTTTGTTCTGTTTTTGAACTGGGCGAAAAAATAACAAAATTTATCTCATTTTTGAACAGAAATAAGGCTAGGAAAAAGGGAAATAGGACAAAAGGGGTTTTTGAAATATCGAGATTCTGAAATTCTAAGACTCAAAGGCATTGAGATTCTAAGATTTTGAATTTCTGAGATGCTGAAATTCTGAAACTCTGCAATTCTGAAATTCAGAAGTTCTTTGATTCATAGATTCTGAAATTCTTGGAATCTTATAAGGGAATGTCGTTCACAAAGCTCTTCAGAATTCTCTCTGAATTGACATATTTGAAGAACCGAGTATGGGCTCTTCCGTAAGGAATGTGACTACCTGCCACACGCGCTGAAACTCAAGAAAAACCGATCTGAAAATGTGAGAATTAAGGAAGTCTTTGAGCCAATATATCTTGGTTCTCGTGAAAGATATAAAAAACATTAATCAACAAAAATGTTTGGCTTAAAATCAGAAACATTTCATTAGTGAAATTTTTTTTGATATGTCCAACAGGAAACAAGGTAATTAGGGTCAAAGGAACGATATTTTTAAAACGTTTCACATTTTTTAAAGCAAAGATTCAATAGTTATGTGAACGTTATGAATCCGGGCTTCCGGGCTTCCGGGCTTCCGGGCTTCCGGGCTTCCGGGCTTCCGGGCTTCCGGGCTTCCGGGCTTCCGGGCTTCCGGGCTTCCGGGCTTCCGGGCTTCCGGGCTTCCGGGCTTCCTGGTTTCCGGGCTTCCGAGTTTCCGGGCTTCCGGGTTTCCGGGTCTCGGGTCCCATCCAGGGTCCGTTCCGGGAAAATCAAACGTTTCAGGCAATTCGGAACCTCCAGAAAATTCATCTGAATTGGAAGATTCTAGGATTCGGAAATTCAAAAATCTTGGAGATTTTGAAAATTCAGATCAATTTTTAAAATTACAGATCTATCAAAACAATTTTCCGAGTTTAAGATTCCCATTTCAGCCATTCAATCCAGTATTTTTTCTGTATCTAAAAACTTCAAGTTCAATTCTTGTCTGAAGTTTCGCATTGTTTTCCAGTTTCGTATCTTTAATTTCTTAAATGCCATCTGGATTTCCATCCGTGTGATTTCTCTATTTCTCTAATCTCTCTTTATCTCTTTTCTCCGAAACTTTACACTTTTCTCAGCCGCCGCCCGTCCGTTTTTCTCTAGATTGCTGTGTAAAAATACACTGATTTTTGCCAATGCTGCTCTTTGAGAAATTGTTTTGTGTTGTTCTGAATTTTTCCAATATAAAGCTTGATAAAAGTATTGATTTTTTTGCATTTTTTTATCTGAGCAATAAAAAAGTTTTCAGTTGTTTCGATTCGAAGCATCTAGATTTCAGTAGTTGCCATAATTCCTGTTACAGAACTGTCTTCTAACTTTGAGCCAATTTATCTCATTGCTTGTAAAAGATATCAAAAAGTGGTAAACTGGTAACATTTTTATCATTATGTCAAAAATGTTATCAGTTGATAGTTTTTCGATATCTCTCACAGGAAATGAGATAATTGAGCTCAAATTTGACAGCTACAGTTTATACAGCTTTTATCGATTTCCATTTTATATTGATATTTAGCTTTTTGTCAAGTTTATCTTTATGAAAGTACTTGGGTGATAAGAGATTTAAAAAAACAGAAAGAAAGAGAGAGAGAGAGATAGATAGAGAGAGAGAGAGAGAGAGAGAGAGAGAGAGAGAGAGAGACACAGAAAAAAGACTTTTTCTAATCTTCCTTATACATATATAAAACGCTACACGCGTCTGTCTGTCCCGGTTTCACCCGCCCGCACACGCCTGGGAGGCTCATCCCCGCGATTATATACGTGAAGAAAATTTTATCTTTTTCGCTGTTTTTTGATTTCAGAAACTCAATTTTGTTAGAAAATACGTGATTATCATTAAAAATATAATGAAAAATTCACACGCACATAATCGCTGGGGGAGGGGCGGGAAGCAGCGGGTGGCTCCTTTTTCCACTCGCCCAAATGGAAACCCTAACCGGTGTTACTCTGTGGACTTTTGAAAAAGTTGAAAAATAAATATATATTTATGTGACCCTTTGAAAAAAGTAGAGAACTGAACGACCAACCAGTAAAAAATAGGTTAAATCGCGCCGAAGTGCTGGTTAAGAATAAAATCATTTTTAATTCTTCTAGCAAAAACATTGCTTCTCAAAATTATTCTTAAAATCTTTAGAAACAGAAATTCCCGTTTTTTTAAATGTTCATTTTCAAGGACAAAATGCTGTCAACTGCTTACGAGAATTTTCGAAATGCGGGTAGAGAACATTTGGAAGAAGAGATTCAGAGATTGACAGGTCAACATTTGGATATCAAGAGAACGTCTGAAAAAAGTCAATCCGAGGAAATGCAAAAAATGATCAAGAAGGAGCAGAAAAAGCAGAAAATTCAAGAAAATCGGCTGAGAATGGCACAAATGTTCACTGGAAGAACTGGAACATGTCAGGGACCAAGGTAGGTGTACAGAAATCGTTTTTTTCTGAAATCTTTAAGTCTGAAAACTAAGAAAAAAAATAAACATTATAAAAATGAAAAATGGTCCAAAACATTTTCAAAATAAATCGAAAAATCAAAAATCAATTTTAAAAATTAGAATAATTTTCTGAAAGACGGATCTTTCAAAATAACTCCGAATATTAGTTATGAACTAAAACTTCCGAATTTCCCAATTTTCAGAGAAACCCGAATGCGTGCAAAGCTCACCGCAAAACTAGCTCAACGCGCCAGACTCAATTTCGAGCTTCTCGAAAAGGAATCCATTGCTCATTCCAAATCAAAAATCGAAAAGGAAGCTCTCCGTGCAAAGCTGGAGGAAGACGCTCGCCAAGCTCAGGAGGCAATGGAAATCACTCGTGCTCAACGGGAAAAACTTGAGGAGAGGTTGAAAATGTTCCAGGAAAAATTGGCAAAAGAACAAGCGGCATTGGAATGCGCGGAGAGGGTTCAGAAGGCTGAAAAAGAAAGGATGAAGAGAGAACAGGAGGAAATGTGAGTTTTTGTGACTTTCATAGGGTTTGGTCATCTCCAGGTAATCTGGAGAGGGCAGGTAACACCTGGATAGTTAGATACACTAAAAACAACACTTATTAAGCCATAAAAAAATTAGGCCATAAAAAGAGATTCTTCTGGGACATTTTTAACTCTCGCCAAAATAGAAGAATTGAAAGGATCTAAAGATCTCACAAATCTTCAAATACTTGTCTTCAGACTTCTAAAGTTTTTCAAAGCTGTCAGAGACATTCAAAAGCAGTATGGACTTTTCCTGAACCTTCCAAAGTCTTCAGAAGTCTCAAACACCTGACAGAACCAAAGCAGAACTCTAAACCAACGTTAGATATTCGTCAGACTCCTTTAGAACATACTTGCAAAAATCGTTGAAGGTCCGGCCCAGGCCTTGAAAAATTTTGAAGGCCCTCCCGGACCGGAATTTTTTTGGCCAAAATTTCTCAAAAAAATTTTTTTTTGAGAAAATTTTGAAAATTAAAAAAAAACTAGTTTTTGAGAGAAAAAAGAGAAAAATGTTATTTTGCTTCAAAAATGCAATTTTCTGTCCGATCCCACTTCCGGAAAAAAGTTAGCAAAAAAATTATTTTTTAAAAATTTGTTTAAGCATTGAAAATGCAATATTTACAATCCAGCTTGAAATTAGATGCTAACCACAATGTTTTTCTAGAAAAAAACAAGCTTTGTTTCCTAAATTTCGACGCTAGCGCCAACTGTCCGGGCCTTCCGGGCCTCCCGGGCCAGGCCCGGCTTTCACCAACTTTTTGAAGGCCCGGCCCGTTGCAAGTATGATTTAGAACCTTTGAAAACCCTTCTGAGCTTTTGAGATCCCTTTAGAACTCTCCCAAAATCGTCAGAACCTTTCAGAAGCTTTTGGAACTCTTTTAAACCCTTCAGAAGCCTTTAGAAGCGTTTATGGCTTTTCGACAGATTTTAGAAGTCTTCAATATTTTTCATAACTATTATCCCAAAATTTCAGAGCCGCCATCGAAATCCGCAAAGCCGAAATCTACTCCAGACTTGCCACGTACGAAATTTTACGCTTCGCCGAACTCCGTCGACTTCGAGATCGATATTTGGAGAATGAGAAGAAGCTGGAAATTTTGAGCCAACAGGAGAAGCTAGAAGAGGTCAAGGAAGAGGAGATTACTGTAGAGGTGTCAGGAACGGTGTCGTCTTCGGAGGAGTCAGATGATTTTGAAGTGTCTGATGATCCATTTGAAGATGAGATGATGACAGAGGAAAATGGGGAAGAAGAAGAGGAAGAAGAAGAGGAGAAGGAAGAAATGAGATTAGTGGAAATGACCAACCCGGAGAAGCTTCAGAAGATTTTCAAGAGGTTTGTTTTTTTTTTGAAAAATAGATTTTAGAGTCTCCAAATTTCAATTTTAGTCATATTTTATATGAATTTATAGAAATTCTCAAAACCTATCATCTGAAAGTCTGAAAAATCTGAAATTTACAGAGAGACCTGTGCCGAGCGTGCTCTTAAAGAACGTGTGCTCCGTCGACTTAAGCTGAAACTTGACAAACGTCGAATGGCTAGACAAAATGAGCTTCTGGAAGTTTCTGATCTCAAAAATCCAAGAATCGAAGAGCCGGAAGACTTTGGTAGAGCGGATGAGGAGGACAGAATGCGAAGAATGCAATATCTGCGTGGCGGCTACCGAAGAGATTTCTAGATTTCATTTTCTTAACCGAATTTTTTTTTATTTGAACGAACGAACATATGTGTATTTGAAACGAATTGTAATATTAATGATTAAAAATAAAATTAGAAAACACATTTTTTGGTTTTTTTTCAGAACTTCTCGGTATTTTTTGGAATTTCAGCGGTTTTTTTTTCAGAAAATTTCGATTCCGATGAATTCCTGAAATTTTAGATTTTATCAGATTTTTTGGAATTTTATATTTTCAGATTTTTCTAGTTACCAAGGAAGTTCCTATGATTCCTGTTTGTCTGAAATTTCTGAAATACGGAACTTCTGAACATTTGAATTTTGAGGTGTTCAATTTTTCAATTTTGTATTCTGAATTTTTGCATTTCTAAAAAAGTTTGAGTTTTTGAATTTTATTTTTTTAATATTTTGGATTTTTTGGAGATTCCTGGATTTTTTGGAATTTTCAAAAATTTCCAAAATTTGGAGTTTTTAGAGGTTTCCTGTAATTTCCAAATTTTTGAGAAGAATTTCACGAATCACATGATTTCACATATATTTCCTGTACGCCCACCCGACGGATAAAAATGAGCAAACATTAAGAAGAGCTCTCCCACGAGAAGTGTATTTGTATACACGAAAAACCTCCTTCCCTTGTGATCAAATCTTGAGATTATTGATTTTTTTTTTGGAATCTGAGAGTCTGAAATTTGATTTTTGAAAAAAGTTACAATGGCTGATGATAATAGGTACGTTTTTATGTTTAAAAAGTACGTCTTTCAGATTTTTCAACTAATAATAGTTTTTGGAACTCCTGAAAATATCCAGAGTGTATTTCAGAATAACAAAATTATTGAATTCTTGATTTTTTAAGTTCAGAAATTCAGACATTTTGTATTGCAGAATGTCAGAACTTCTGAATTTCAGAACTTTTCGAAATGCTGCATTTCTGACCTTCAGAATTTTGAAATTCCAGATTTCTCGAATTCCTGACTTTCAAATTTCAGTACAGATTTTAAGAATTGCAAAGTTTCAGTATTTCAGATTCCCAGAATTTCCGAGTTTCTGAGTTTTTTAATTTTTTAGAATTTCCAGTTTGCTTGATGGATTCGAAATTATCAGTTTAGAAGATGTGGTGATAATTGGAGATTCAGAATCAAAACCAAATTCGAAGTGAGCTTTTTTTTGAAATTTCAATATAAACACATCTCGAATGATTTTATGTTCAAAATTTCAAAATAATTTTTACCGGAATTTCAAATTGTAGAACTGTATTTTTTAGACCCTCACCAGTCAACGAAGTGGACCGTGCGAGAGAAAAATTAGCCGAGAAATTGCGAATTTTAAAAGAAGATCAAATTCAACAAAAATTGGAAAGAGAGCAAATCAAAAAGGATTTGGACGATTTGAAAAGATCGAATGATGAGAGAAGAAGAAAAGAAGATGAGAATAAAAAGTAAATTTTATTTGATTTAAAAAAAATTTAAGAGTATAAAAATCTAAATCTCAAAAATTTTTCCAGATCCAACGAAGTCATTGAAGCAAAGTTGGCAAAGTTGGAAGATTATGAAAAAGCGAGAAAAATGGAATTTGAAAAATATTTGAAACGATACAAGGACAATCAAAAAACACCGATCCGTCAGCAGTCAGTTGATGGAAATTCTGAATTCAGCTCTTCATCAGGAGCCAAGATCAAAAGAGCACAATCTGAAAGGATGCCCAATTTTAGCAATAAAAAAGTTACTGGTGATAAAATTAGTGAGAAGCGGAGACTGAAAATTGACAAGCCAAAAAATCAAGGAAATGGAAAATTGGAAATTGAAGCAAATGAAAAAGTTACAAGATTGGAGGATGATAATTTTTAATAATTGATTTGCTTAATTCAATGAATTTTTCGAATTCAAACGTTCAGAAACTCAAAAATTCAGATATTTGGAAATTCAGAAATTCGAGAATTCAAAAAGTCAGAATTTCATACGCTAGAAGATTATGGAGCTTTTTTCACAATGACAAGTTTAGACGATTTGTCATGAGTCTGAAAATCAATTTTCTTCAATTTTTCTCTATTTCCCCATTCAAAAACACGTATCAATTATCCCTGTTTTGATTTTGTGTCATTAATTCAAAACTAAACTTTTCTCATATCTTATCACATAATACGACACATGTGGTCAACAGAGACCACACTTGTCAGTATAATAGCAAGTCACGTTTTTGATTTTTCCATCATTGAGTTCTAACTTTTTCTTCAAAACCATGTCCAATCGATTCTCCGGTAAAGTTGCTCTTGTTACAGGTTAGTTTAAACATTTTTTCTCTGACCCTAAACGTTCCATTCAGGGTCCTCCAACGGAATCGGTAGAGGAACTGCTATCCTTTTCGCTCAGGAAGGTGCCAAAGTGACCATAACCGGAAGAAACACCCAAAGACTCGAGGAGACGAAACAGGAGATTTTGAAGGCTGGAATTCCAGAAGACCATGTTTTGGCGATCGCCACAGACTTGGCTACAGAGGAGGGACAAGATGAACTTATCAATAAAACAATTAAGAAATTCGGAAGACTGGATATTCTGGTTAACAATGCTGGAGCCGCTTTTAATGACGAAAAAGGAGTAATTGGCGTAGATCAAAATGTCTCAGTTTATGATAAAATAATGCAAATCAATCTAAGGAGTGTTGTCACTTTAACTCAGAAATCCAAGAAATATTTGGTAGAAGCCAAGGGAGAGATTGTGAATGTCTCTAGTATTGCTGCAGGACCACAAGCGGTGAGTTGGCTTACTTTTAAAAAAATCGGAAAAGTTGGTTGATGAGATTTTTTGTCGATTTGTTTGAAAAAGTAAAATATAAGAAAAATATTTTTCAACAAAAAAGACGGTTTTCCATTTGACCAGAATTGTTTACTATCTTGAATCATTGCATCAGAAATGACATCTAAAAATATGCATTTTTAAAGTGTTTAGCAATTCCAAGTACCGTGAATCCTGTATGAAAAGGGACCCTGTAATAAAAAGGTCCGTACATCTGAAATGTAACATTATCAAAGTGCCTAGGGATCTACAGTATTATAGTTTCTCTTTTTCAGCAACCCACCTTCCTATACTACGCCATGTCGAAAGCAGCACTAGACCAATACACCAGAAGTGCAGCTATCGATCTTATTCAACACGGAGTCAGAGTCAATTCCGTGAGCCCTGGAGCAGTGGTCACTGGATTCGGAGAAGCTATGGGAATGCCATCAGGCATGCATGAGAAGGTAAGAGACAATAAATATGTCATCAATATAGAACTGTTTTCTTTTCAGTACGAACACTTCATGGAGACTCACAAAGAATGCATTCCATACGGAGCCATTGGAAAACCAATCGATATTGCTCATATTATTGCATTCCTTGCTGATCGTAAATTGTCTTCTTATATCATCGGCCAGACGATTGTAGCTGATGGTGGATCTTCGCTGGTTATGGGAATGCAGGCTCATGATATGATGGACATTTTGAAATCCTAATTTTTTTTTCAATTTGTGAATTCCGCCCAAAGGCTTTATTTAGGCCAAATTTTCTCATATTAGCTTTTCTCTTGTTTTGAAAAAAAAAACTCGAAATTTTGTGCACAATTTCTTTCTGCTCACTTTTAATAAACATTAACATCACCATAGACCAAAAATGAAACAAAACTGATTATTCTCTTATCAGTTTCGATTTTTCATTCACCACTTTTTCCGCTGTTTGCCAACAATGTCAACACGATTCTCCGGAAAAGTTGTTCTTGTTACAGGTAACTCCCTCAAAACTTTCCAGTTTCTAAGGTAATTCCCAGGATCCTCAAATGGAATTGGTAGAGCAACGGCTATCCTATTCGCTAAGGAAGGTGCTAAAGTTACCATAACCGGAAGAAACGCCCAAAGACTCGAGGAGACAAAACAGGAGATTCTTAAGGCTGGAATTCCAGAAGACCATGTTTTGGCAATCGTCACAGATTTGGCTACAGAGGAGGGACAAGATAAACTTATCAATGAAACAATTAAGAAATTCGGAAAATTGGATATTCTGGTTAACAATGCTGGAGCTGCATTCAATGACGCTGAAGCGAAGACTGGTGTAGACCAAAACGTCTCGATCTATGATAAAATAATGCAAATCAATTTGAGGAGTGTTGTTACTTTAACCCAGAAAGCGAAGAAATATTTAGTAGAGGCCAAGGGAGAGATTGTGAATGTCTCTAGTATTGCTGCAGGACCACAAGCGGTAAGTTTCAGATGAATATGAGGTTGAATGAGGTGGCTACAGTAGCCATAAGCTGAAATCCATGAGATGGGGCCGTAACCATAAGCCATAAACCATAAGGTAGAAGATAAGCCGTAAGCTATGAGATATACTGGGACAGTGGGCTTGAGCCAATGGAAAGTCATAAGGATTTGAAAGTCAAAAGGAAAATGACTTTGCGACCGCGTAGCTCAACTTTTGGCGGTTGTGAACCTTCAATATTTTTTCCCATGAGTTCAACTTCTCAAGAAGATATTTTGTCAGCTACTTTTAATATAAAAAAGCTCAAACAACTTTCAGTACCCTGCTCTTCCCTACTACGCCATGTCCAAGTCTGCTCTAGACCAGTACACCAGAAGTGCAGCCATCGATCTTATCCAATACGGAGTTCGTGTGAACTCTGTGAGCCCTGGAGCAGTGGCAACCGGCTTTAGACAGGCCATGGGGATGCCAGCGGAGACTTATGAGAAGGTAACTTTTGCTGTTCAGTTGTGCAGAACATGATCTTGGTAGGACCTCTGTAATTCACGATTTTCGAAAATTCGAAAATGGTCTACAATAAAACGTTATTGATTCATCTAGCTGAAATCAGACCATCACAATAACCAACACTTTTTAAAAATTCAAGACAAGTTTTCAGTACACCCAATTCCTGCAATCCCACAAGGAATGCATCCCATACGGATCCATTGGTCAGCCAATCGATATTGCTCATATTATTGCGTTTCTTGGTGATCGTAAATTGTCTTCTTATATCATCGGCCAGACGATTGTGGCCGATGGAGGGTCCACTTTGGTCATGGGAATGCAGGCTCATAATATGATGGACATTTTGAAATCCTAAATTTTTGAAATTACTATCAAGCCCACATTTTCAATCTTTACAATTAGAATGTTTCATTTTTTTAAAATAAAATATTTTTAGCTATGACAATTCAACTACGAAAATAAAATAAACAAATAGAACTACTCTTATCAGTCTTTGTATTTTCAAATTTTCATTTTGTATACTTTTTTTGAAATCATGACCAACCGATTCTCTGGCAAAGTTGCTATTGTTACAGGTAAGTTTTATAGAACCGGACTTGAGCTTTAAAAGTGCAAAGGTTTGAAAGTTTTTTGGAAATTTTCAGGCAATTTTTTACTAGCTAACCCTACATTTTTCATTTAGGATCCTCAAATGGAATTGGTAGAGCAACGGCTATCCTATTCGCTAAGGAAGGTGCTAAAGTGACCATAACCGGAAGAAACGCCCAAAGACTCGAGGAGACAAAACAGGAGATTTTGAAGACTCGAATTCCAGAAGACCATGTTTTGGCAATCGTCACAGATTTGGCTACAGAGGAGGGACAAGATGAACTTATCAATGAAACAATTAAGAAATTCGGAAAATTGGATATTCTGGTTAACAATGCTGGAGCTGCATTCATGGATGATAAGCGGACATCTGGAGTGGATCAGAATATATCGGTTTTTGATAAAATAATGCAAATAAATTTGAGGAGTATTGTTACTTTAACTCAGAAAGCCAAGAAATATTTGGTAGAAACCAAGGGAGAAATTGTGAATGTATCTAGCATTGGAGCTGGACCACAAGCGGTGAGTTTTCATCATTGACGGACGTTCTGGGATCTGTTATTGTAAGACATTTTCTATATATTATGATTTTGACATCATTAATTCCTAGATTTGAGCTAAACGTTCGCCAAAAATCAGACCTAGATTACCACTCGAATTTTGCGAAAGCACCGGTCCGAAAGATTTACATTTGGCTATGAAAATCGTAATTTCCTAGCTATTTCTTTCTGGCACCGAAGCCTATTTAAAACCTATTTTATTTGAGTCAGCAATGCCAGTCAACAAGAATAATATAAAATTTTCAAATTTTCAAAGTTCCAGCAACCAAAATTCATCCACTACGCTCTTTCCAAAGCATCACTAGACCAATACACCAGAAGTGCAGCCATCGATCTAATCCAATACGGAGTTCGTGTGAATGCTGTGAGCCCTGGAGTGGTTGCAACTGGGTTTGGAGAAGCCATGGGGATGACACGTGAAATGGACCAGAAGGTAATCTTAAATCCTATACTTGCATTTTGAGCTCGAGTATCTCGATTTCTATAAAATATGTTAAAAGTTGTCAGACTACAAATATGTTTATCACATTCTGAGAAACATTTTATCAGTTGATAGATTTTCAATATCTCTCATAGGATCCAAGATAATTGATCCCTAAAATTGTTATTTTTTCAGTACTTCAATTTCCTCGAATCGCACAAAGATTGTATTCCATGTGGATCCATTGGAAAACCAATCGATATTGCTAATATTATTGCGTTCCTGGCTGATCGTAAATTGTCTTCTTATATCATTGGACAATCAATTGTAGCCGATGGAGGGTCCACTTTGGTCATGGGAATGCAATCTCATAATATGATGGACATTTTGAAATCCTAATTCAAATTTTTGAATTACTCTGCTTTTACAATTCAACATGGTCATTTTGAATTCTTAATTTTTTATTAATAAACCCACAGTTTACCATTTGAAAAGAAAACTCGAGTGATTTTCCGGCAAGTCAAAAAATCTGACAAAAAAAATATAAAGCGAAAAACTGAAAATTTTACTCTGCAAAAAAGAAACAGTCATTGAGCACAATTCGTTAAGTCAGAATTAGAAAAAATCGCGTTTCCTCAGATATTTTGTTTTTTTTCTGGATCACAAAATTCTATGTCCATTCCCTTCATCTCTCACAAACCACATCGTTTTCCCTCTCTTCAAAACGTACACTTTTTTTCTTACTACGAGAAACATAAAATACAAATCATCACACTACGCTTACAGGCATATAAATTGGAAGAAGTAGCGAATTTTCATAATAGGAAATTTTTTTTCGAATCGAATACATACTTGTTCCTGATCTTGTTGCTTTTCCTCTCGTTTTAGTCTTTAGAAAAATTAAATTTTTTCCGAAATTCTGTCATCTTAAACTTCAGAAAAAAAACTCCATTTTCTGATTTTCAGACTTCTCATCTTCTCAAAATCCCTTCCAAACTATGCCCCGCTTCTCTGGAAATACTGTGATAATCACCGGATCCTCAAATGGAATCGGAAGATCGGCAGCTCTTCTTTTTGCTCAAGACGGAGCAAATGTTACAATCACAGGAAGAAATACAGAGAGACTTGAAGAAACCAGACAACTCATTTTGAAATCTGGAGTCTCAGAGAGTCATCTGAATTCTGTTGTGGCTGATGTCACAACTTCTGATGGACAGGATTTGTTGGTCAAATCCACTTTGGACAAATTTGGAAAAATTCATATTTTGGTGAGTCCGATAAATCTCAGGAATCATTGCTAGCTACAAAAAGGTCTCCGATGATTGAATTTGAAAATTGGCATTCAAGGAGAAAATTACAATTTCTAAATTTCGATATCGGATTTTCAATTTTTTGAAGTTTATAAAATCCGAATTTTGTAGAGAGGCTATCATTTGTCTCCGGGAATTTTTCCTGTATTCAAAAATACGGTCCCATTTCCAGGTGAACAACGCTGGAGCTGCTATCCCAGACCCCAACGGGGTCTTTGGAACCGATCAAGGTGTTGATATATACCATAAGACCATGCATTTAAACTTGCAAGCTGTAATTGAGATGACTCGAAAAGTTAAACCACATTTGATGGAAACCAAAGGAGAGATCGTCAATGTTTCGAGTATTGTGGCTGGACCACAGGCGGTAAATTAGTCCTTGACATTAGACGAAACCTAAAACTTAATATTTTTTCAGTCCCCCAAATCCATCTACTACGCAACTGCCAAAGCTGCACTTGAACAGTATACCAGATCCACTGCCATCGATCTTATTCAACACGGAATCAGGGTCAATTTGGTGCGTCCTGGAATTGTGGAAACTGGATTTATGACGGCTATGGGGATGCCGGATGAAGGAGCAAAGAAGGTTAGAATATATTCAGAATTTTTTTACCCACATGTTTCCAGTGCTACAACTTTCTCGCCGATCGCAAAGAATGCATCCCAGTGGGTGTAGCTGGCAAGCCTGAAGACATTGCGAATATCATTTTATTCCTTGCTGATCGTAAATTGTCTTCGTATATCATTGGCCAATCGATTGTAGCCGATGGAGGATCCACTTTGGTCATGGGAATGCAGTCTCATAATATGATGGACATTTTTAAATCCTAATTTTTTTTTTCGCTAATTATTGAAATTTTTGAAGTAATAAATTCTACATATATGATTTTTTGTGGTTAATTGTATCAAAACTTGAAAAAAACAACTTTTATTGGTAAAAAATATAGTGATTATCCGGGAAATTGTCCCGGAAAAAAGTTATCAACTTTGACAGCCGGACCTCCAGGATTTATTCCCATTTTCCCTCCGATCCCTAAACTTCCCAATCCATTTTCCAAGGCTAAATGCTCCTCAACTCCAATATACAATCCCAGTTTTTTTCGAATACATTTCGGAAGTACCAATTTCAAAACGGCATCTCGAATTGTTCGATTAAGGGTCAAGTAAGCGATGCACAGGCATCCACTACTCCATTGCCAAACGACGTGTCCTGTGATAATGAGCCATTGAGGAGAATAAAAATGTTGCATATATTCATAAATGAGAGCAGCACTGGCATGAAAAAAACACAAGATTACACCTTGGAGAACAATCTGGAATTTCGAAAAAAATACCGTGAAACCTGTAATAGAAGGGCCCCCAAACTTTTAACTTTTAATCAATTAGTTTACGTTCCGGTTTAAAATATTAAGAATGTGTTAACTGACAAAACATTTCTGCTATAATAATAAGCAATTTATCAGTAGACAACATTTTCATATATTTGACAGGAACCGAGTTAAAATTACCCAAAGTTAATTCAATTTTTTAATTTTTCAAATTATTATACCTGTCTTTTCGACTTATACAACCACATCGATGTTGAATATCCGTGTTTGAAAATCAAAAAATAGCATAAATAAAAATATAAAAATGTGGTCAGTACAGCGGCAATCACATTGTTAGCTGCATGTGCGAAGTTTGGGTAGAGATTTGGCTGAAAGAAATATTTATAAAAACTAGAAACAAATTCGAATAAAGGATTTTTTTCGAAAATTTTAAAAATTTTAAAAATCAAAAAGTTATAGATATAGAATTTCCGGCAAACCGATAAAAAAATCTAAAGTTATGAGTTTCAAAAAACTCAGATATTCCCGAATATTCGCCGAACAAAATCGAACAAAAAGTTAGGAAAATCAAAATATCCGGAAAATTAAAATTTCAAAGAGTTCTGGAAAATTGAAAACTTTTAAAGTAAAAAAAAACCGAAAAAGCCAGAAATTCGCAATTTTCAAATTCTAATGTTTTCAGGAAATCTTATAAAATGATAAATTATTTTATAAAATGATAAATTAAAAAAAAAAAAAACTTTGAGTGTTCCGAAAATTCCGAGAACCTTTTGATTTCGAAAAATTCGGATATTCTAAAACTTAGAGAACCTAACAAATTCCAAAACTTTAAAATTTCCAAAAATTGAAAAACTCACATCTTTGCCAATCATTGGATCGGATAAAAAACAGCTGCAGTCCGGATTAAAAAACATAGGCTTATTAAAAACCATTGAATAAATTCCATATACCAATAAAACGCATTTCACAACTCGAAACACATTTTTCTCAAATAGGAACGAGAATAAAAATTTGGGATTAATTTCTGTGCACCGTTCCATGCCGAGTAAAATTGATGCCAAGCAGCCAGTCATCCAAGCGCCACTCGCAAAGTCTCCAATGATAAAAAAGAAAAGTGGAGAATCGCAAAAATGGATTCCATAAAATGATAAGAATCCAGAGGCCAAGGAATTTGTAAATAAGGATAGAATATCAATAATTGCCAAAATCAGCATCAACTGATAAGCTGGAGTTTTACCCTTGTGTTTTATCAGGGAAATGAAGCAGGGAATGTATAAAATCATAAAAATCAAACCGGAAGCCATTAAATAAATCCCAAAAATTGGCCAGGAAATTTTAGATCTTTTAAAATCCACTCGACATTCATAAGCATCTGGCCACAAATTGAAATTGTGAGTTAGCGGATAGAAAAGCGACATTTCGAACATCGACATGTTATTTGAGGTTGGTGAAATGGAATATTCTAGAAAACTCATTGTTTTTGAGAAAAACAAAAATTCCACTGGGATTTTTATAATCTGTTTGTGATAGATTAAAACTTGTCTACGTTTTTTTTGTGAATAGGAAAATTTGAATCTTGTGATTTTTTGAGTGGGTTGGAAGAAAAGATTGAAGAATAGGCTTCATTAAACCTTTTTTCTGGGAAAATGGCATTTTTTGAAAAGATTTTCGAGAACTGGAATCATTTCCGTATTGAAATCTTTTTGGAAATATTCGGAAAAAATCCTAATTTCCTGATTTTTGACATTTGAGAAAGTTCTTTCCATTCAAAATTTTATTGAAAAAATACAATTCATAAAAAACATTTACACTAAATTTGTATACATTCGGTGATAATAATAAGTTCAACTCTGAATATTAAGACTTCAAAATGTCCAAAAAACTATGAGCCTGCATTCCCATAACCAACGTGGATCCTCCATCGGCGATAATCGATTGTCCGATTATATAAGAAGACAATTTACGATCAGCAAGGAACAAAATGATATTTGCAATGTCTTCAGGTTGACCAGCGACCAATGCAGGAATGCATTCTTTATGGGAAGACATGAAGTCGCATAACTGTAAAAAATATATCTTCTAGAATCAATTAAAAGGTTTCTTACCTTTTGAGTTGCCGCATCTGGCATTCCCATAGCATTCACAAATCCAGTGGCGACTAGTCCAGGACTAACAGAGTTGACCCTGATCCCGTATTGGATAAGATCGATAGCTGTGGATCTGGTGTATTGGTCAAGAGCCGCTTTAGCAATAGCGTAGTACATGAAATCGGGTTGCTGAAAAATATTAGTTGGAAATTAGACAAGAGCCGGTAATATAATAGAAGACCTCTCCCTAACTTTAGCCCAACACAAACCCATTCTAACCCTATCAACACTAAGTTTCATCTAGAAAATCACATCTAGATCTATTTCAAAGACACCGATTCTCGATAGATTCCAAATTTCAAAACCATACCGCACGTGGTTGTCCAGCAACGCTGGAAATATTGATGATCTCTCCTTTGGTTTCCATCAAATGCGGTTTCACTTTTTTGGTCATCTCAATCACAGCTTGCAGGTTTAATTGCAATGTTTTATGATAAACATCAATGCTCTGATCGGTTCCAGTAGCACCAGTGGCGTCTGGGATACCGGCTCCAGCGTTGTTGACCTGGAAAATTTATATGGTTTCATGACGAGCCAAAGAAAGTTAAAGAATGTCTGGTACAACCTTTAATTTATAAAATTTTCTTTTGAAAACCCTAGTCAAAACAAACGTTCAAAATTAAAATTCAGTCATCTCAAGAAATCTAAAAACCTACCAAAATATGAATTTTTCCAAATTTGTCCAAAGTGGATTTGACTAACAAATCCTGTCCGCCAGAAGTGGTGACATCAGCCACAACTGAATTCAGATGACTCTCTGAGACTCCAGATTTCAAAATGAGTTTTCTGGTTTCTTCAAGTCTCTCTGCATTTCTTCCTGTGATTGTAACATTTGCTCCGTCTTGAGCAAAAAGAAGAGCTGCCGATCTTCCGATTCCATTTGAGGATCCGGTGATTATCACAGTTTTTCCAGAGAAGCGGGGCATAGTTTGGAAGGGATTTTGAGAAGATGAGAAGTCTGAAAATTTGGGAAACTTGAACGATGCTAAAAAAAAGATTGGAAATCAAAAAGTATTTAGAATCAGAATGTGAGATTAGGTTTTTCAAAACTCAGAAAAAATTAATTTTCGAAAATTTCAAGAAAAGAAATACTGCACTAAAATAGGCCAATTTCAGAAAATATATTTTCTGGGAAAAGTTTAAATACCCATCCTTCTATCACCTCTGTTTGTGTCCTCCATTGTGTCAAAAAGCGAGAGAGCGTGTATTTTGAAGAGACTGCAGACAAACAAACACAAGATTTTGTGTCCGGGATGATTTGAAAAGTGCCATTGACCACAGAAAATTGGAGTCAATTTTTGAAATTTGAGTTTTGTTCAAATGATCAGATAGTGAGAAATTCGGAGAATCTGGAAATCTGAAAATCAAAAAATGGAAAAGAAAGTCGAAAGTTTTTAAGTTTTGCGATACATTTGGACTTGGACTCTGAGAATCTGAAATTCTGAAATTTCAAATTTCTAAATTTTTGAATTTCTTCGATATTCTAAATTTCTAAATTGTCTGGAAAATCTTAATTTTTGACATTCTTTATTTTTTTTTCTGATAAGGAAATGTTTGATCCTTCAGGAAAATAATCACTGATAAGACCCAAAAACATTCTGTCGACCTAAAAGTACACCCAAAAACCAGTTCATTTTCCTAGACACAAAATAATATTTTCAAAAAATATCATCCTCAGAAAAAATTGATTACAATTTTCTGTGGCCATTTATCCCTTCACATGGTTTCGGACACAGAAATCTCTAGACACCCTATAAAATGACACACTATTTTTTCTTCTTGTAATTTTTTTTTGAAATTTTTCGCACTACGGAGAATACAAAAGTTTGTGTTTGGAGAGAAGAGTAAACAAGATGAGATGGAGAGTATTTAAACACTTTCAGGAAGGTCAAATTTCATTTTCAATTTTTCTTTTATGTAGACCGAAAGTACTGAATTTTCGGTGGCGTTTCATGAGAATCACCTGTGAATCGAGGCTGTGCAAATCACGCCCACGGCCGGCCGAGACTGAGACCGTGGGTAGGTTGCCGAAGACCATCCAGTCCGTTCTATGGTCGCTATGCACCTATCCCAGAAGTACCCTTAGAATGATGCTTCCGGCCGCGGGACAGCTTTGTATGTGATCCTAGTTGAAAGGATCCTGTTATAAATAGATTTTTTGGTATTTTTAGGATTTTCGAAATATCTTTAAAATCTTCTACTTCGTTTCCCATTTTTTCAAATTTTCAGACTTCTCAATTTCCCTAGCTTGCTACTAAACCATGCCTCGCTTCTCTGGAAAAACCGTAATCATAACTGGATCTTCAAATGGAATCGGAAGATCGGCAGCTCTTCTTTTTGCTCAAGACGGAGCAAATGTTACAATCACAGGAAGAAATGCAGAGAGACTTGAAGAAACCAGACAACTCATTTTGAAATCTGGAGTCTCAGAGAGTCATCTGAATTCAGTTTTGGCTGATGTCACCACTTCTGGCGGACAGGATTTGTTGGTCAAATCAACTTTGGACAAGTTTGGAAAAATTCATATTTTGGTGGGTTTTAGTCTTCATTACGGAAGTTTTTGGCTTTTAACATGATCCTAGAAACCCCAAACATCATCATTTCCCTCGAAATACATATTTGGGCAAATTATATTTTTTCTAGAAAACAAGAATCTGAAAAAACTCTGTTTCTTTCAACAAACTTAACTTTGGTTATATTTTTGATAGTTCGATTTTCTCTAATTTACTTTCATTTATTTCGAAAATCTTTTTTCCAATCTCGAAATGGCTCGACATTTTCTCAAGAATTCACAAGGTCGGAGCATGTAATTGATACCTTTTCTTAAAAGTTTTCCAATGATTCACAATTGAACCTTAAACTCTTTAATTTTTCCAGGTCAACAATGCTGGAGCAGCTGTTGCAGACGCCACCGGAGCCACTGGAACCGATCAGAGCATTGATGTTTATCATAAAACATTACAATTGAATTTGCAAGCTGTGATTGAGATGACCAAAAAAGTGAAACCACATTTGATGGAAACCAAAGGAGAGATCGTTAATGTTTCAAGCATTGTAGCTGGACCACAGGCGGTAATTTCAAAAAATTTCGTTATCTAAATCACAAAATGACTTTTCAGCAACCCGATTTCATGTATTACGCTATTGCGAAGGCGGCTCTTGACCAATACACCAGATCCACAGCTATCGATCTTATTCAGCATGGAATCAGAGTCAATTCTGTTAGCCCTGGAGTTGTCGCTACTGGATTTACTAATGCTATGGGAATGCCAGATCAGGCATCTCAAAAGGTATAGGATCTTCTTTTTGATTCTAGCAAATCGTTTTCTTTTCAGTTCTACAACTTCATGGCTGCTCATAAAGAATGCATTCCTGCATTGGTCGCTGGTCAACCTGAAGACATTGCAAATATCATTTTGTTCCTTGCTGATCGTAAATTGTCTTCCTATATCATCGGCCAATCGATTGTCGCCGATGGAGGATCCACGTTGGTTATGGGATGCCAAGTTCATGATATAAGGCAAATGATGGGATTGTAAATGTTTACCTTTTGGCTCTTACAGTTTGCTGATTTAATTTTTTTGAATCTTTTTTTCAAACCCCTCATGGAATCATAAACAATAAAAATCGCATTTCATTTACTTGTTCCTTGAAAATTATATCTAAATCCCAAAATAGTTCTTAAATCGGTCACTTGGAAGCCTTTAATTAATGTCAATCCTCAATCAGCTGCAATTGTCTCTTCAGTGGTATAAGAAGGCAATTATGCTATTCTTTTAGCTTTTCTGATAAGCTTTTTTGATGCTCATCTGGATTTTTCAAGTTTCTAAGACTTTGTGGAATGTCAAAAAAGTTTCAAAATTGAATATTGATTCAAAAAAAAACCACAAGAATATGAATTTTTTCAAACTTGTCCAAAGTGGATTTGACCAACAAATTCTGTCCATCAGAAGTGGTGACATCGGCCACAACAGAATTCAGATGACTCTCTGAGACTCCAGATTTCAAAATGAGTTTTCTGGTTTCTTCAAGTCTCTCTGCATTTCTTCCTGTGATTGTAACATTTGCTCCGTCTTGAGCAAAAAGAAGAGCTGCCGATCTTCCGATTCCATTTGAAGATCCAGTGATGATTACGGTTTTTCCAGAGAATGACATGACAGAATAATACAGAAGTTCTCATACTTTTTTCTGTTCCTATGGTATATATACCAATATTTTTCGTAGTGAAAGCACAACCTACAGTAAAACTCTAGGTTCTCAATTTATCTGATTAAATGTGATTTGTGAGACAAAAATTCGTGTCAGTTTTGTCATTTTGTTGACGGAGTTTGTGATTGCACCTATTTTTTTCAAATTTTAATTTTTAGGTCCCTTCATTGGAAAGATCAAAATCCTAAATTTATAAAAAGATCCTACAGATCATAATTATTGTTTTAATTTCTATTTTTCATTTAAAAGTGTTGTGACTTGTGTTATCTTTTCTCTCTTGTTGGTCTGACTTTTTGATCTCTCTGACAGGGACACAAAACACACAGACAGGGAGGGGTATAAAAGAATCTTTGAAACAAACGAAAATCGAAATTTCGGAGTTTCTGATTCTATTCAAGAAAAAAATGACCCGATTTTCTGGAAAAGTTGCTTTGATTACTGGTAAGATTTGTAATTTGAAAGAAAATTAAAAATCCTTTTTTTTTCTTTAGGATCCTCCACTGGAATCGGTAAAGCCACAGCTATCCTATTCGCTAAGGAAGGTGCCAAAGTTACCGTAACCGGAAGAAACACCCAAAGATTCGAGGAGACGAAACAGGAGATTCTGAATGCTGGAATTCCAGAAGACCACATTTTGGCAATTGCCACAAATTTGGCTACAGAAGAGGGACAAGATGAACTTATCAATGAAACAATTAAGAAATTCGGAAGACTGGATATTCTCGTTAACAATGCAATGCTGGAGCTCTTAACAATGCTGGAGCTCTTTTCCATGATGCTCAGGGAAAAAATGGGATTGCTCAAGATATATCGGTGTACGATAAAATAATGCTGATCAATATGAGGAGTGTCGTTACTTTGACCCAGAAGGCTTTGAAGTTTTTGATAGAGGCCAAGGGAGAGATTGTGAATGTCTCTAGTATGGCAGCGGGACCACAGGCGGTGAGTTGAAAAGTATAAAAAGGGATTAATGGTCTTGGAAAGTATTCGTAACTCATGATGCCATGAATATCATTATATTAGTTGACCTGTTATAGCACAACCCTCTGGGAAACAGTTAGGGAAACTATTAGTCCGTTAGCCACCTGTCTAAAACAATTTGACCAGTAAATATTTTCCAGCAACCAAGTGTGACCTACTACGCAATGTCCAAAACTGCACTAGACCAATTCACGAGAAGTATTGCAATCGATCTTATCCAACACGGAGTTCGTGTGAATTCTGTGAGCCCTGGAGTCGTGAAAACTTCGTTTGGACTAATTGAAGGAATGCTGCAGGACAAGGTAGGAAGGTTGCAGGACAAGGTAGGAAGATTTTGGGACTAATTAAAAGTAGTGGGATCACAAAAAAGGTAGAGCGCGATTTGTGGGAAAATGTACAATTTTGGAGTCCTAAAATCATAGTCCATAACTGGAAAACCTTTGATTGTTTTGTTCTTTGAAACTTTCGTTCGAAACTTTCAAATATCGATTTTAACATACAGTACAAGACAACAGCAATTTTAGAGCCGAAATTCGCCAACATTGAGATCTGCCATAAACATCGCGGAAATGTGAAAAATAACACTGAAAAGATAAATGTGTCACTTCAAAGCAGCCTTTTCAGATAAATTGAAAGATTTTGAGATAAATTTTTTGGACTTGAAAGATGCTTAAAGGAGGCCAGACACCAAAAAAAAAAGTTTTCCTGATATTTTGCATAGAGAACCCCCATGGAGGTTGAACTCATGACAGGCAGCTCAGGGGTACAGCGCCGCTACCGGCTGAGCTGCGGGGGCGCGAAGGCGCCTGACGACCGATGGTTTACATAAGCGCGGCGCGATTTTGTCCCCCGAACTGTCCCCCGAACTTTTTGCTGTCTCGCCTCCTTTAAAAATCAAAATATTATATTCTGGAATTTTCTAGCATGTTCTAGAATGTTCTAGAACTTTCTAGAATCTTCTGAAACTTTCTGGAATTTTCTAGAGTGTTCTAGAGTCTTTTGAAATTTTCTAGAATGTTCTGGAACTTTCTGGAATTTTCTGAAACTTTCTGGAATTTTCTAGAAGTTTTTGGAATTTTCTAGAATGCTCTGGAATTTTTAGCATGTTCTAGAACATTCTGGAACTTTCTGGAATTTTCTAGAGTGTTCAGAAACTTTCTAGAATGTCCTGGAATTTTCTAGAATGTTCTGGACCTTTCTGGAATTTTCTGTAATTTTTGAAATTTTCTAGAATTTTCTGGAATTTTCTAGCATGTTCTAGAATGTTCTAGAACTTTCTAGAATCTTCTGAAACTTTCTGGAATTTTCTAGAGTGTTCTAGAGTCTTCTGAAATTTTCTAGAATTTTCTGGAACTTTCTGGAATTTTCTAGAAGTTTTTGGAATTTTCTAGAATGCTCTGGAATTTTTAGCATGTTCTAGAACGTTCTGGAACTTTCTGGAATTTTCTAGAGTGTTCAGGAACTTTCTAGAATGTCCTGGAATTTTCTAGAATGTTCTGGACCTTTCTGGAATTTTCTGTAATTTTTGAAATTTTCTAGAATTTTCTGGAATTTTCTAGCATGTTCTAGAATGTTCTAGAACTTTCTAGAATCTTCTGAAACTTTCTGGAATTTTCTAGAGTGTTCTAGAGTCTTTTGAAATTTTCTAGAATGTTCTGGAACTTTCTGGAATTTTCTGAAACTTTCTGGAATTTTCTAGATTGTTCTGAAATTTTCTAGCATGTTCTAGAATGTTCTAGAACTTTCTAGAATCTTCTGAAACTTTCTGGAATTTTCTAGAGTGTTCTAGAGTCTTTTGAAATTTTCTAGAATGTTCTGGAACTTTCTGGAATTTTCTGAAATTTCTGGAATTTTCTAGATTGTTCTGAAATTTTCTAGCATGTTCTAGAATGTTCTAGAACTTTCTGGAATTTTCTAGAGTGTTCAGGAACTTTCTAGAATGTCCTGGAATTTTCTAGAATGTTCTGGACCTTTCTGGAATTTTCTGTAATTTTTGAAATTTTCTAGAATTTTCTGGAATTTTCTAGCATGTTCTAGAATGTTCTAGAACTTTCTAGAATCTTCTGAAACTTTCTGGAATTTTCTAGAGTGTTCTAGAGTCTTTTGAAATTTTCTAGAATGTTCTGGAACTGTCTGGAATTTTCTGAAACTTTCTGGAATTTTCTAGAATGTTCTGAAATTTTTTAGAATTTTTTGGAATGTTCTAGAATTTTGCGCATAACTTAAGAACCTTGTATTCTGTAGAAAATTACTATGACCCATTTTCAGTAGTCCACAGGATCGAAATTTAAGTGATATACGAAAAAAAAAGGAATTAAAAAAATTTTTAAGTTTTGAAGATTTGTGCTCAATTTTATGTAGGCAACACATAGATAGACCAAAAAACCGCTTTGCAAAATTTCATGAAGTTTTATTGAGTTTGAGATTAATTTTGAAATTTTCGATTCTCAACCCTGTAGGTTCCCTGTTAGCTAGAAGGCCCAGGACACCATAGACATGAAGCGCTCGGTAGTCCATGACTACATACCACTCACCATTATAGGAGTCCCATGCCCTTTGGAGTTATTCAAGTAAATGTCCGAGACGGACACACACACACACAGAAAAGTTTCCTTAGTAAGAAGTAGATTCCAGGTGCTGTATTTAGAGTTTTTAAAGTTGGGGGGACAGGAGATTTTACGAGGGATTTTTGGGGCCAGAGTATGCATTCTACCGTGACGGTGTACAACGCTTAATGTCACTCTGCGTACAGCTGTCGTCCTCGCCTTTATGTATGCAATCGGGCGACCGCTTTTTCTTTGCCCGTGTAGCTCAGTCGGTAGCGGCGCCGCACCCTCAATCATCGCCCCAACAAGTTCAACTCCTCGAGGAGCATATTTAAACGAAATTTCGAGAAAATTATTTTTTTTCATGTCCCCCCACCTTTAAATCTTATCCGAAAAGTTCGGCGTCTAATGTATGAAGCTCTTCAAATTTTCACAAAAATATAAAAATAATTCCGAATCGAAATCCCCAACTTCATTTTCCAGCTCATATCATTCCTCGAGTCTCACAAAGAATGTCAACCAAACGGAAAAGTCGGTCAACCAATCGATATTGCTCATATTATTTCCTTCCTAGCTGATCGTAAACGCTCATCATATATAATTGGACGCACAATTCACGCAGATGGTGGTTCCTCGTTGGTTATGGGAATGCAGGCTCATAACATGATGGACATTTTGACAACATCTAAATGATTTTTGGTTCTCTTTTCTTCGATTTTTCGGAAAATTTATTCCCTTGAAATATAAATTCGTCTAGACAATTAACTTCGACTTCCTTGAAAAAGTACAAGATGACTAATTCTTTTTTGATCATTTGTAATTATCGAAAAATAATAAGAAGAAGTCACATACTCTTAATTTCAGCCTATACATTTTTCTTTTTTTTTCAGACAATTTCGCTTTTAAAAATCATTTTTAAAGTATTAAAAAAATTGTGCTCTCCTATCGTTTTTTGGTGCTCTGACTGAAAATCTGGAACGATTTTTTTTCCAGACATCGTGTTTTTCTGAAATTTTCAGACCCCCCCCCCCTCAAACAGCTGAAATTTTTCTTTAGTCATCAGTAACCTTAAAAATTCTGAATAAATGAAAAAATTGTCAAAATTTCGAAAGTGGGCTTTATGTGAAATTTACTGGAACATTTCCAAAAAGTTCCTGTTTTTGAGAATTTTGGATTAATATTTTCAGGAATTTCCTTATTTTATCTGTAAAATTTTCAAAATAATTCCAACTTCCTCCTAAAGTTCCCCGGATTCTCTCAAATTTTTTTTTCAAAAATCGCAGATTTCAAATTTCTATTTATCGCTTGGGTTTTGCTCATTCTTGTTTTTGTCTATTTCCTCCTCTGACACAATAAGTCAAAAAAGAAGAACATAATTTTTATTATTATTATCGTCTACTGATAAAAAATCTCACCGGGACCCTAATTAGGCAGCGAGAGGAGATAGATGTGACTCGGCACAAACTAGAGTGACTTATTTCTTGAAGATTTTCGATCAGCTTCTATTTTTTGTAGGTCTCAAAATCTGAAAATGTTTGGGGGTCAGAAAATTTTTAGTTTTCCAAAATAACAAAAATTGCTTGTTTGTATTTCTCGTTTTCATTTCCTGTCACCTTCTTTTTTTTGTAATTACAGTAATTTTTTTATTTTTAGGCAAAAAAATTCAATTCAGAATTTCAGAAAAATGTTTTTTCCAGAAAACGATTGTACAAATTTCATATAATCCATAAGTTAGAATTTCGAAAGACAAACGGAACATATCAAAAATGATTTTTCAAGTTTTCTGAAAAATCGAACATTGTAGAAATTACAAAAATTTCAAACCATATTTTCTTTTTTTTTGTTTCAAAAAATTACAATCAAATTTTATCTTTTTTATTGAAATTTCCTACAAAACTGGCTAAAATGTTCTAGCTCAAATTTGAAGCGAGTTATGCGCCTTTAAAGTTTGCGAGAGCGCAGAGAAACGAGAGTGTCTGCGTCTCTCACCTTCAAGCTTTGAAGAGCTGTATTTTAGCTAAAAATGGTCCGTTTTGAATGATTTTTAGTGCGTTTTGAATTAGAAAAATTAAAGAATCGAACAACATAAAAATCAAAAAGATTCTAAAATCATAGTTTTTTGGAATTCTCGATAAAACATGAAATTCACTCAAATTTCAGTTGAGCTTACAAAAAACCGTTTTCAAATTTTTTCAGTCAAATATTATATCACTCTGATTCACTTGAAATTTCCTACATAAAAAGCAAAAAATCAACTTCATATCTTAGTTTTGAAGCAAGTTATAGATTTTTTAAATTTGCGAGAGCGCAGAGAAACGAGAGTGTCTGCGTCTCTAACCTTCGAACTTTGAAGCACTGTATCTAAACTCAATATGGTCCGTTTTGAGTGATTTTGAGTTAGTTTTGAAAGAGGAATAGAGGGGATTTCAATTTTTTTAAAAAATCAGACAATCGCAAAATTCTAAAGCCCCAACCTTTTTTTCCAACAAGTTTTTTCAACCCGGTACCAATCTTAATTATACCAACATCTTCGAATAATTGAGCATTTTGAATTTCAGATTTTTCCAATGTCTGGAAACATCACTGCCTTACCGAATTCTATAACGGCTTCCATGGAAACGGTCACTCGAGACACTACACTTGAAATTTTCACCATAATTCAGTTGACTTATGGAATCCCATCCACACTTTTCATCATATTTTTCATTTTCTTTCTGGGTTTTGGCAAGAAATACTCAAATTCATTTTATCGATTGGTCCAGTTCGATTTGTTGGTGGTAAGTTCATCTGGCTCGAATTGTTTGATCTGAATTCTTCCAGAATCTTTTAACCTATCTCAACTCCTGGTTCGCGGTCCGTATAGATAAACATCCGATTGTTGTTCCCTTCCTGAAGGCTCTGACGTATCAATGCCCCGGATTCCTGACGTGGACAAGATATTTTGCCTACTGGTTCATGCATATGCAGTTCCTGTCTGCAATTGCATTGAGTCTCCATAGAATATCTTCTGTTTTCTTTCATTCTCAGTATGAGAAGGTGAGTAAGGGGCTGTGCAAAAATGGGGTGGATATACGGAAAACAATACAGTACCTGCCTCACTCACAGTTGAAAATGTGTTTGGATGTCTAAAAAAATATGATAGTTTTTTTTTTCTGAAAAAGGTTTTTCAAGAAGAATAGTGGCTCTTTCCGGGAAGAACGGTCCCAAAGCGGGACCGGCGGTCCCATTATCAGACCGCCGGTCCCAACGAATTTCGATAACGGTCCCATTGTTCCGACTACGGTCCCAAAGGTACGACAACGATCCCAACCGGGATTAACCTGGAAACCCTTTTGGAAACATCGGAAACTGTAATTTTTGTTTAAACTAACAATAAGTAAACACATTTCAGAAACAAAAACGAACATTTTGCAGATAATTAAGAATTCCAGAACTTATTTACTGGAATTTTTGTGTATTTGGTTTATAATTATAGGCTTAAGCTGAAGCGCCTTGTTTGCATCAGTGCCGGAAAAATACGTTTTGGCCTTAGCCTACAATACAAAAAACGTAATATTTTGCGAAAAATTCCTTTCAAAAAGTACTGAAATTCCCAAGTAAATGTAAAATGTTAAATTTTCCACTGGATTTTGAAAAGACCATTCCGTTTTTTCTGTATTTCGGGAATAGGGTTTCCAGATTGAGCCTGTCTGGGACCGTTGTCGTACCCTTGGGGCCGTTGTCGGAACGTTGGGCCCGTTCTCGGGACATTGGGACCTTTATTGGAACAATGGGACAGTTGTCGCAATTCTTGGGACCGGTGGTCCGAGGATGGAACCGGCGGTCCCGTTTTGGGACCGTTTTTCCCGGAAAGAGTCGTATAGTTCACTTTGAAGACCTGAAAAAGTACCCAAGAATGTTTAAATTTTTCTGAAAATTTTAAAGTCTACAAAACATAAATAGTTCCTCATTTTTGTAATTGATCACTTTTAAATACAAATTCAACGAAGCGAGATAAGCGGTTTTAAAGTGAGGTTTGTCTCTCATTTTAGTGCTCATTTTGACACCTTCGGGTTTTTACGGCGTATCTCATCAAGATGGAATTTTACAAAAAAGTTGTCAATTACAAAAATGAGGGTCTACTTTTGTTTAGTACGCTTTGGAATTTTCAGAAAAATTGAAAAATTCTTCCACCATTTTCCAAAGATTTTAAAGTTGCCTGAATGCCACAATATTTTCCTTCTGTTAGAGCACAAATTGATCAGCTTTAACTAAAAAGTCCCAGAACTTTTGAGAACTTCTAGAAAAAAACCAATTTTCAGATGTGGAACTATTGTCTTATCCCATTTTATCTCCTGTGCATTTTCTACTGCTGTTTATGCAATGCATTGATTCCTGGATCCATTACAGATGTTTACATTAGAAATGATACACTTATGAAGACTTCATACATTAGTGTAATGGTACGAGCAATGACTCTTACTGCCATTTTTTCCGCTATTTATTTTGTTCTTCTAATTCTTGTTGGACTAACGACGTCGAAAGTGGTGACGTGGAAAATACAGGGTTGGTTTTTCAAAAAAAGATACTACGAGAACCAAGAAAATACTGATTATCGGAAAAATACTGGCTTTAGTAGATGAAATTAAAATTTTATGAAGTCAAATTTTTTATTGGAACATTCACTCAATTCAGAAATTCTGAATTCCCGAATTTCTGAATATCTGAATTTTCTTTCCGAATCCAGGAATTTCTGAACTTTCGAGTTTCCGAATTCCCGAATTCCTGAGATTTTCAATACATATTCTTAACGTCCATTTTTATGTCTTTCTGAACTTTAGGAGTTCAAACTTTTGGTGATCCGGAATACTGGAATTCTAAGTTTACGGGATTTACGAGTTTTCGAATTCTCATCTCCTCGTTTGATATTTCTTCAGATTATCAAATTTTTTGAAAATCCAAGTTACTAAATTACAAAACCTGCATTTTTCCAGCCGCCTCAATCACAAACGGAGGAATCGGCAAGAAATTGAACAAGATCGCCGCCACCTACGGATTCATCTACAGTGGAATCCTGGCATGGAGTCTTTTGAATACGTTCAATTCAAATTTAAAATTTCTACCAACGTTTGTTTCCCAGATTAGTGCCAACTTGTTGCCATTTGCTTCTGATATGGTGGGATTTTTAATTTTTTTTCTTCTGAACTTCAGAATTTTTGTTCAGATGACGTTGGCACTTCCATATATTCTAATGATTCATGACACCAACGTCAAACAAGACATTTTAAGAAGAGTTCCGGTTTCCAGAACTAACAGTCGGATCGTTTCGTCCAGCTTTGTCATTTCTCGCTGATAACTTTTTTGTCTGAAGCTCCGCCCCTAAAATTTTCAAATGACGTCTTCGAATTTATCACTGTCTGGATTTGAAAAATTCGTAATTTCCATTTTCTGTCGAATATGAAAAATAAATTTTGACAGCAACAAAACAAGGATTCGTTAGACTTCTTGACTCATAGAATCTCTGAAGGGTTAATTGGCAAAAATTCAGATATAAAAAAGAGGGAAAATGAGAGAAAAGAGTGGTTAAGGATTAGCGAAACCGCCAGGGGGAGTAAAATTTTTGTTATTCACTTGGATTCTTCTAAACGATTCTTAATTTATGAACTTTTTGAACTTGGAGTGGTCTGTCTGTCAAACATATTTTACAACGGGATGTTTTAGAATCGCACAGTTCTTATCAGACCATTTTGAAGCCAGAAGTACAGTAACGGACAGAAATATACCATAGTTTTACTTTTTTCTGTGAAGAATAGTCAACCTGTTGGTCCGGAAAAAGTAGTTCAGAATTCTTGAGTTTGTCTGGAAATTTCAGACAATACTCAACAAAAATAGAGTTTCGTTTCTTTGAAGACAATTTTTTAAATCCACTGAAAGCAAACAAAAAAGTTGTCAATTTCAAAATTGAAGCTTTAATTTTGTTTAGTACACTATTAAATTTTCAGAGAAATTGAAAATATCTGAAAATACTTTTTCAGTGTGCTAAATCGTACTCTTCTGATGGTGATTCACCGAGGAATGTGCATTGCATCCCCCCGCAATCACTTTCTTTTATTAAATTCTTTATCATGTAACCAGTATAAAAGCCCCTCTATTGTATCATTCTATATCGTTCAATAAACCAATATAGTTCTAAAACATTCAGCATACTTGCTAAATCAGGGCCCGGGTTCTCCAAACTGGAAAATTTTTACCATTTTTTTGTGAAAAGATTTTTTATGTACACTCTTTTCTTGAAAAACTTTTACTTCACCGAAAAATCGTCAATTTTTTTCTGTTGGCCCCAAAAACATTTTTGAAAAGACAGGAAAATATTTTCTGAAAACCCGGGGCCTGAAAATTCTGAAAAAAAACCCGGCCCGGCCCGTTGCAAGTATGTTTTCAGATCTTCAAAGTTTGCTAATGGTCAAAGTATCTTTTTGTCCGGTACTGTAACTAGGCGACTAGAAATTCAAAATCTGAAAATCTTTATTTCCGGATGCCCGAAATATTCAATTTTGTCTCGTTCGACTTACAGGGGAAGTACCCGAAGTGAAATTTCGCTTTTTCTTAGATGTTGGTGGCAAAAAATGTCCCGTCGCTGGACTAACGGATAATATAGGGTGCCCAAAGGCAGGTTGAGCAGAATGGCAAAACTTTTTGTGATTTTTCCGAATAAGTGGGTCAAGTCCATTCAAAAAATCATAACTTTGTACAGATTGAAGATAAAACAATATACTAAACTGTATTTTGTAGCACGGATTACAGGCTACAAAAAACCTAATTACACCTTTATTCTATCTCTGCAAAGAATTTTACTATGATAGGAAATGTCCGAATGGTCCGATCGTATGAAATCAAAACATGTCGATTTTCGAAAAAACACATTTGGGAGACCATGTCTATCCGATTCCTTTTATGTCATAATGCACAACTGTAGTCTCAAATATATAGCTCACGGTTCATTTAAGAGAGATTTTTGAAAAAATAATATTTTTAAAGTCAATTCCATGTAATTCCATGTATACATGGTATTTTTTACAATGTCAATTTTTTTTTCGAAAATTTTGACTTCTTGATCACGGTTTGACCATTTTTTGTCAAAAAATAACTAAACCAACTGAATCTTTCATTCTCAGAGCGTTTATGTTGTATATGGAAAAATGCGTTTAAAAAATACCATGTATAGGGGTACATGGAATTGACTTTAAAAATATTATTCTTTCAAAAATCTCTCTTAAATGAACGGTGAGCTATATATTTGAGACTACAGTTGTGCATTATGACATAAAAAGAATCGGATAGACATGGTCTCCCAAATACGTTTTTTCGAAAATCGACATTTTTTGATTTCATACGATCGGACCATTCGGACATTTCCTAACATAGTAAAATTCTTTGCAGAGATAGAATAAAGGTGTAATTAGGTTTTTTGTAGCCTGTAATCCGTGCTACAAAATACAGTTTAGTATATTGTTTTATCTTTAATCTGTACAAAGTTATGATTTTTTGAATGGACTTGACCCACTTTTTCGGAAAAATCACAAAAAGTTTTGCCATTCTGCTCAACCTGCCTATAGGCACCTTATATTATCCGTTTTGTGCTAGTCCAGCGACGGGACATTTCTTGCCACCAACATCTAAGAAAAAGCGAAACTTCACTTCGGGTACTTCCCCTGCTAGTTCCATGTTCTCCTGTATTTCCTGTTGTATCCCGTGGTCCAGACATGATAGCAGACACAGGAAGGGTAGAGAGTGGAGTTCTCAAGAGACAAGAAATCCGCGTGTAATATGTGGAGGAAATAGAAAGGGTTAGTGAACCAGGGTAGTTGACGTCACCAAATAATAATACATTCAACTTATAAGAATAGGCGTAGAATGTAACATTTCCAAAATGTCCAAAATTGTACATTTTTCCTTCTTTGTGTATTCGGATCAGAGATGTCAGGAATTCCGACTTCCGACTTTCGACTTCCGACTTCCGGGCATTTTTTCTTCCGACTTCCGACTTCCGACTTCCGAGTTGGAAACTTTACTTCCGACTTCCTAATTAAAAAATGTGCTTCCGACTTCCGACTTCCGACCTCTGGAAATAAAATTTTACTTCCGACTTCCGACTTCCGAAATTTCACTTCCTGACAGCTCTGATTCGGATGCCTTGATTTTCATCTGTTTTTTCTTAATTTTCAAACATCCGTACCTATTACCAGTCAAGGTTTCCCAAACATCGATCCAAAACTATCTACAAGAGTTTTTTTATAAACTGAATATTCCGATTTTGAGCCCAGCTATCCAAAACATTGGAAACATCAAAACGTTTCATAGAGTTCAAACTTTTTATTAATATTGTTTGATGTCTCACATAGTCCCAATGGCACAAATGTACCAAAGTAAAATTAAAGTGCAAAAAACGTTGTAGTTCACTCAGAACATTTTTTGAAAAAATAGATGTGTCAGTAATCCTGGAATAGTTTTTTGTAGGAAATTTTGCAATTTTTTGGAAATTTGCAAAAAGATAGACTGAATAATCTATTTTTCATTGAAATCTCCAAAAAAATTAACATTAAAGAAAATTAACCAAAAAAATTAACAAAAAAAAAATTAACAAAATCTCCAGAATCATTATATAAAAATTTTGGATCACCATGATTTTGGACCATTTCAAAGAAAATTAAGAATCCCGACCAGTTTTGATCTACATTTTTATGATTCCAGAAGGGGCTGAAATCCTTGAAATTTTCATAAACGTTCCAGCTTTTTGAATTTTCAGGAGAAAGAGCTTGAGATTCCAGAAAAAACTTATCTTGACATAAAAGCAGCCTTCATAATCATGAGTTTTACATTTCTCAATTTCCATGATTTTCAGATATTTTCGGATTTTCTAAAAGTACACAATTTTCCAAAAAGTCCGAGCTTTTTTTCTAGTCTAGCCAAGAATAGGAACACAACTTTGCTAAAAATTCCAAAAATATAATCGTAGACAATAGTTTTGGGAATTTCCAAATTAATTTTGGAAATTCCTAAGAATTTCAGTTTTTTTCATGTACCCGGATTTTGAAAAAACACTAAAGGTGAGGGACAGGAGATTTTCCGTAGGATTTTTGTAGATAGGGTATGCATCAGAGATGTCCGGAATGACTTTTTTGAGAAACGGTATCTGGAATCCAGAATCCGGAACAAAATAATTTTCTCCGGAATACGGAATACGGAATACGGAATCCGGAATTTTAAGTTCTTCAAATGAGCAAAAAAGTTCTAAAAACACATGTCGTGCTATATTTTTTGCAGTTTTAGTCGCGGAAGTTCAAAAAAGTCAGATAATCCTTGCAATTTATGCGGAATCCGGAATACGGAATCCGGAATCCGGAATACGGAATCCGGAATCCGGACATCTCTGGTATGCATTCTACCGTGACGGTGTACAACGCTTAACGCCACTCTGCGTACAGCTGTCGTCCTCACTCTTATGGATGCAATCCGCTTTCTCTTTGCCCTCGTGGCTCAGTCGGTAGCGGCGCCGCACCCTCAATCATCGCCCTCACAAGTTCAACTCCTCGAGGGGCATATTTAAGCGGAATTTCGAGAACATTATTTTTTTTCATGTCCACCCACCTTTAAGAGTTTGCTGCTTTTGAAATTTATTTCATAGAATTTTGATTTGAAGTTTACAGAAGTTTGAAAAAATATAAATTTTTTGGACTTCAAGAAATTTCCCCTAAAGAAGGCCAGGGATCAAAAAAAAGAAAGTTTTCCTGATATTTTTCCTAGAGAACCCCCATGAGAAGTTGAACTCATCATGGGACGCTCAGCGCTCAAACCTATAAATCCGTTTTCAAAGTCTGTTCATGAGACCTTTGAAGTACTGAAATTTCAGTTTCAGTACCAAAAAATCCCATTTTCAGAGTAAAATCGGCAATTTTCAAATTTTGTTTTCTCCACTTCTAAGAGGTTTTAGAACTTGAAACGTTTCTTAATATATTTGAAATTAGGCGGAATTTCATATTTCGGACATTTTCTGAAAAAAAAGTTCTTTCGAAAAAGTTTTGGGAAGTTTCAAAATTTTGCCTAGATTTCCCGTGGTCCCAATTTTTGAAAGTTTTTTTAGAAAATGTAGAAAATGCCTGAAATATGAAATTCCGCATAATTTCAAGTACATTTAAAAAAGTTTCAAGTCCTAAAACCTCCTAGGAGTGGAGAAAATCAAGTTTGAAAATCGCCGATTTTACACTGAAACTGAAATTTCAGAACTTCAAACTTACATAAGTAAAACTTTCTGCTGTCTGGCCCCTTTAAAAATATTTTTTCTGATTAGTTTTCAAAATTTCCTAGCTTACTCATACCATATTTATCTGTTTTTTTGAAGATTCCCCAGACACGGATATTATTTTTCTGGATGTAAAAAATCCTAATTGTTGTTATGCCGTCTTTCGAAAAATCTAGACACCATCCGATTCACGGAAACCATTTTCTAGCAAAATATTGATGATTCTCGAATCTTCAACTTCACACATTATCAATATCACATAAACATAATCCACATTTCTAGACAAATAAATGTTCAGCTGTGTTTGAAAATAAAAACCAGATCTGAAAATGTCAGAAAAAAAAAACATTATCACTGTCTCCATTTTTTTTTTCAGTGACTAATTTCTGTTGACTCATTTTACATCATAATTACCACAAGAAAATCAGAAATTAATTATCATTTAGTTCCGGTGACAATTAGACAGGAATCTCCACCCATTAGCGTAGTTTTTCTCTTTAAAAACATGAAATTTTCTGGGAATCTCTCGTCAGACAATTTTCCCTTTTTTGCTATTTTGGAACATTCTAAAATTTGAAATTCCAGATGGAAAACTTCACAGTCTTCATGGAAAATGTCACCGTTGACTCAACGACTGAAATTTTGACCTACATCCAATTGTCGTACGGAGTTCCGTCTTTCATTCAAATGGTTCTCTATTTTTTCATAATTTTGTTTGGGAAAAAGTACAAGAAGAGCTCATTTTACCGTTTGGTCCTGTTCGATTTGTGCACGGTTTGTTCTTTTTTCTTCTTTTTTTTCAGGTTTTTTGATATTTCAGTATGTAAAGTTTCAGTTTTTAAAATTTTCAGAGCTTTTATTTTTCCTAGACAAATTCTCAATTTCCAAGTTTTCAGAGTAATCTGAAATTTGAGTTTTGAAATATCGAAAAACCAAAAAGTCGGATTCTTTCTGGAAATCCAGAAAACCGAAAAAAAAATCTGAATTTTCGAATTTCAGTGCTTCCGAATTTTCAGAAACATCTGGAATTTTAAAATTTTTCGGATTTTCAAAAATTTCGAGAATTCAAAAGTTTGGAATCTTTCCAGAAACTTGAAAAAACCATAATTAATAGATTTTCTGAAATTTTTGGAGTTTCTGAATTCCCAATTTCATATTTTCTGAATTTTTGAATTTCAAAATTTCAGAACCTCTGAATTCCTGAATCCCCGAAAAATCAGAATTTTTAGGAAATTGAGCATTTAAAAAAGCTATAGATTATTTTAATTCCCGAAATTTACACAAATGCCCAATAGTTGGGCTGTTTGGAAATCCAGATATTCCTGAACTTCAACGTACTCCAAAATTTCTGACTATTCAAAAACTGTCAGTATAGAACTCAAAAATCCGATATTCAACTTTTGAGAATTCGAGAAAGTTTCCGAAATTTCGAAATTCAAAAATTCGGGAAATCTTCAAAATCCGAAGAAAGAGGAACTTTTGGAGTTCTGAAACTCTTTAAAATTCTGCAAAAACAAAGTTTTCTTCATGTTTCTATAAATTTCCAGAACATCTTTGTCTACGCAAACACCTGGATCGCAATTCGTCTGGAAATGCATCCCAGTATGATTTTCATTTTGAAAGCTGTCGAATATTATATCCCCGGACTCTTGACAGCACTAAAATATTTTCCCTATTGGTTCTTCCATATGCATTTCTGGACAGCCGCACTTTTAACCATCCACCGAATGACCTCAATAGCTTTTCCATATGCATATGAAAATGTTAGTGAATAAGGAATCTTACAGAACATTCTAGAAATCAGGTTTTCCATTCCTAAACTTTGTAGAACCTTTTAGAAACTTAAGAAGAAACAACTTTTTCAGTTCTGGAATCGCTACTTCTGGGGTGTCGTTTTGTTATGTTGTGTCTACAGTCACGCGCCAAAGTACCTATGGACAGCCTGGCTTTATCAAGTCAATATTTGGAATGGGCAACTCGTTTGTGTCAATTTTCCGGGAACACTGAAAGCCGCTATTAATGTAGTCGCTGCGTTTTCAGTCACTTATTTTTGTTTGAATTTGGCGCTGGGATTGAGTTGTGCAAGAATGGCTTCGCGAAAAATTGAAGGTATGTGGCTTGACTGAAGAAGGGGATATGAAATAAATAGATTTTTCGAAATTTCATTCATACCAGCTTGTTTGCGACGCCTGGCGCTTCGAATAGCTGACTGGTGCGCCTTCAATTCAATTTAGTTTGTAACCGTTCGTCGCTTCGTTCCCCACGTTTCCTTAAAAGGTCGCTTCACTCTATACTAAACACCAGCAAGCTGATGCGCCTTCGGCGCGATTCAACCTAGTTTTTTTACTTATTGGTCGCCCAGATCTTTACTTTGTTTAAAGGGCCTCGTAAATCTATATTTATTTTTCAAGTTTTTCAAAAGTCGACAGAGTGACACCGGGACAGACAGACGCGTGTACACTTGGGTCCAACGCAACGGGTCAAAAAACGCGCCCCAAATAACTTTTAGGCCAGAAGAAATTTAATAATTTCAAAGTTGACGTGGATTCGACCTAATTAATTTTAATCAACGAGTTGCAACGTGTGATTTTTTCGCCCCATGTTTAAAAGTTTGATCTTAAATAATTCATCAGCGAATTTTTTCTAAAATCTCACGTTTACTGGGGCGAGATTTCTGACCCGTTGTCTTGAACCCAAGTGCGTGTAGCGTTTTATATATAAGGAAGATACAAGATTTTGAAAATCTTGCGGACAGACAAAGAAATGTGTAACTTCGTTTATTTTTTTACGAACATTCAAAGACTTGAATTTTTGCGCTCACCGTTTTAGGTACAGCGTTGCTTTGCCTATTTAGTTCAAACAGAAGTTCCACGTTTGAACTAAGTTATGGCTGGTTGAAAAGTAATGTGTTTTTGAGAGAATAGTCAATATGAACGGTGTAAACACCGATGATCGTGCACTATAACGCAAGAATACGTAGTCTAGCTAAAAATCCAAAATGCTAAAAATGCTTTCTACGAAATTGTCGAATATTTTGAAAAATTAATATCTTCTGATTCCTTTGGACCATTAAAACAAATTTCTAGCCACCTCATCCAAATCGAACATCAAAAAAAAGCTCAACCGAATCGCATTGACCTATTCCGTCGTCTACACCGCTGAAGTCATCTGGAGCGTTTTGAATGCGGCGAACGGATTTTGGAATTTCCTGCCAGCATTTTTCGTCAAACTCAACACCAATCTTCTTGTATTTGCATCTGATTTGGTTAGTTTTTGTCTGTCTGTTGGTGAAAACGCCCGGATGTCCAAAAAACTTGTCTTCGCGGGGTTTTTCACTAATGTCTTCGGCTTGACGGAATTTTAGATGACTAAATGATTCTAAAATTATACTAAATTTTTTTCAGTTTACCCTATCACTTCCATTCATTATGCTGATTTTTGACACAAATATCCGTCAGGACGTCTTCGAATGGTGCAGAAGAACGAGACAAGTCTCACAACAAGGAACTACTGTTTTTGTGTCACATTAAACATTTTTGAAGATATTTTTTCTCCGACTTCTCTTCATATATTTTGCCTTTTTTTGTTTTATTTTATGGATTCGAATAAAATTTTTGTATACCGTAAAAACTCTATCAGATGGCCATGGCACTCTATTGTTTGGGGTGGTCTGGGGTGACACTGTATTACTCGGGTGTCGCCGGCAACTTCTGGTCGGAAGTTGGTCGGCTTCTGGTCGCTGCTTGGTCGTATTATGGACAAGACCGCTACTAAAGCCGACCAAGATTCGACAAACTTCCGACCAACTTCTGACCTCATTACAGCAGGGGCCGGGTTCGGTTCGCACTATTGATTATTTTTCAAAGCAACACTGAACTTGGTATCAACAATCATTTATTTCAAGTAAAATATAACATGATTGCTTTCCGATTCCTGGAAGCAACACTTTCAAAAATTCGATTTTTTTTTGAAAAAAAATTAGGCCAAAAATTCGGGGGGTACAATGATTCGGGGGTACAAGGGGGTACAACTGATTTAGGGGTACAAAATTGATGATTCGGGGGTAAAAAATTCGTGGGTACAAAAATTCGGGGGTACAACGATTCGGGGGTACAAACTACCAATGATTCTGGGGTACAACTCATTTCATTTAGGGGTACAACGCTTGTGATTCGGGGGTACAATTTTTTTTGAGGGAGTTTCTGAATTCCTGAATTTCAGAACTTTGGAATTTCAGTATTTCGGAACCTGAGAATTTCGGAACTTCACAGTCTGAGAATTTCAGATTTTCAGCACTTCAAAATCTCAGAAACTCGGACAGAATTTCGGTCCATTCTCCAGGGGTACATCGAAATAGGGTACATCATGCTCAAGGGGTACATTGACTGAGTGGGTACGCAGTCTGAAGGGGTACATCTAGGTAGTTGCACAAAAACAAAAAGTTCGGATCTGGTCGAGATTGAACTCGCGACTTCAGTTTTTCGTGCACCCACGCGCACCACTACACCAATTCACCCAGTTTCCCTTCTCAACCGCAACCCGTACATATTCGGTGGTTTCTAAAGCAGGAAGAAAGTGAAAGAGGTTGAGAAAAAACAACTTCCGGAAGATTTCCCACGACTATATCTGAAAGTGGACACAACGTAATTTAAAATTCAATTCGGCACTGAAATTTTTCTGTTAGATTTCATTTAGTTTTTTTTTCACTTCTGTAGTTTACAAAACTTTGTAGAGATGAAGGAAAAACCAATGAAAAGGCATGAATTCCGAATTCTGACAGCAAAACTATGAAAAAAAAACCTATTATTTGTCTTCCGAAATCAGAAATAAATCGGAAATTAAGGGATTTTTGTCTGAAAAAAATTATTTTTAGGCCAGGATTTTGATTTCAGCTGATTCCATCGTCGTTTCCAATCGCTCACTTCTGTACTTTATCTGTCAGTGTTTAAAACAATTTTTTATATAAGAAATTTGCTTTTTTTTCTCGAAAATGTGTCTTTTACTGTGAGTTCTGTGTTTGAATCCCAAAAAATTGCTCGAAATTCTCATGGAAGAGTTTCCGGAATTTTCTAGGCCAGGGGCCGTTGTCGATTTACGAAGGCAATTTTTTCTATTTTTCCTCCTATTTTCTCGATTTTCAACGATTTTCGACTGTTTTTCGTATTTTTTTTTGCAGAAATTTGTGGAAGATTATAAGGTCACATAATAACGGCGGGAGAACTGTATCCGAATTCAAGAAGGTCAATAGAAATGTCTCTGGCGAGTCTGAAAGCGGTGATGATGAAAGGAAAGCAGATGGGAATATTTCTAGTGATGAGGAAAATGACAGTGATTGTGATGTGAATAGCTTGAATTCTAAACCCAATGTCTTCGATGAGTCGGGAGATATCGTCGAGGATGAAATTAATTGTAATTCCAATGATGAACATGTCAATCTAGTCCTTGACCCTTCTGTGGATCACTTGAACTCTCATGATTCTTGCATGGATCTTTCTGATGATCCAAGAAAGTATGACAGCGATTCAGATGAGGAGAATGATATTTTCGGATATCAGAATGTCAATCCAGTGCCGAAGCCATCAAATCGTGTCTCGAATGATCATAGTTCACAGATCGATCTTCGTGATGTTCTTGGAGAAAAGGGCTCGAGAAAGCCTGAAAGCGATTCTGAAGAAGTGACCGATGTTTCCACAGGACAACATGTGAAACCAATGTCTCTCAAAGAAAAGTTTCCGATTGGATACATGCATCGACTTTCGGATGATTCAGACGACAGTGAGACAAAGTGAGCGACTCATTTAAATGTTCAATCAGCTCATTAATATATTACAGAGACACCGAAACAACACCCGAAGACTGTCCATCACCGCCTAGAAAGAAGTCAAAGAGAAACTCAGGTCCTCCTTCCCGCTACCAAGCTTCCTTCAAATAAACCCCAATTGGCTTCAATTTTTTTTTCTCATCTTAAGGTCATTCTTAATTGTCTAATCCTTTTTTTTTGTTTTTGCATTCTTTGTTGTTGCTGTTGTGTTGTTCAACTATGAATTGTTGCCACATAAAATTGTTCTGTTTTGTCTTTAAAACATTGAAAAAAAATTGAATCCGAATTATCAAAATTATTTAAAAAATAAGAAAAATTTCAATTACCACGAAAATTGAGAAAAGTTGAGAAAAAATGGAAAATGGAGAAAAACCGAAATATTGCGAAAAAACGGAAAATTGGGAAGAACGGAGGAATATGGAAAAAAGGAAGATGAGAAAAATTCAGAAGTTCCAAAATTCGTAGATTCTGAAATTTCAAAATTCTGAAGTTCTGAAACTCTGATGTTTTCGAGCTCTGAAATTCAGAAACTCCCTCAAAAAAAATTGTACCCCCGAATCACAAGCGTTGTACCCCTAAATGAAATGAGTTGTACCCCAGAATCATTGGTAGTTTGTACCCCCGAATCGTTGTACCCCCGAATTTTTGTACCCACGAATTTTTTACCCCCGAATCATCAATTTTGTACCCCTAAATCAGTTGTACCCCCTTGTACCCCCGAATCATTGTACCCCCCGAATTTTTTGCCAAAAAATTACCTGTCATTTGCCATATCGCAAGCATCGCAAATGTTGACATTAATTTTATTTTTCTGAAAACTTATTTTTTTATTAGAACAATTCGGCTAAAAAATTATTTTTTAAGTTTCGTATTTTTATTTCGAGACATCATCTCTCATAGTACTAGACTATTTTTCTGAAAAAAAAACTACTTTTAAAATTAGAACTTAAATTCAAAAACGATTTTTAGGTAAAACGGTGAAAAAAACAGTTTCGAAAAGAAAAACAAGAATGAGTGAAGCCCGCGTCGCAACGCTTCTTAAGACCGACCAAAATCTGACCAAGATCCGACCAAAAGCCGAGCCCCCGACCAGAAGTTGCCAGTGCCATCCAAATGCTGTTCAACTTCTGACCAGCCGATCAGCTTCCGACCAGAAGCCGACGGCTGCTCAACTTCCGATCATTCAATTAGAGGCTGGCACTTTATTGTTCGGAGCCACTTTCTACTGGAACTCATCAGAAAAGTACTCGATTTTCAACTTTTTCATAAAATGACAGGTTTCAGTGGCATTATATTAGGGGCTGGCACTCTATTGTTTGGAGGTGCTCTAGGATGACACTATATTAGAGACTGGCATTCAATTATCTAATAGAGTTTTTACGGCATTTTGAATTACTTGTTTAGTTGTATTTCGAGAAAGGGACACTCCCACAAAAAAAACAACTATTTTCATGACTTATTGAAAAAACTGCATTTCGTTCCTGAAGAAAAAAACTTGAAAATTGGAAACAGGTGAAAATAAATAAATAAACTTATTACCCGAGAAAATCTTATTTAAGCATCAACAATCGAAAATTCGTTTGTAGGACAACATATATATGTTTTTCCTTTTTTTTATGTTTATTTTTTATCCAAATTTTCCGAAAAAAATTGTTATATATAGGCACCACAACGATTTTTTCAAACTCATTTTTCCTGAGAATTGTTTATATTATCGTATTCACCATATCAATATTAGTATAATTCCGAATTTTTTTTCGAAAATGTTCATCCGTTCTCGAGATACACCCTTTTTTGTAACCCCCTTTTTCATCCATTTTCTCTGAGGGGGTTGCAGTGGGCACGGAAAAGTGGGCGGGGCAAGGTGGGCGGGGCGACGCCTTTTGCAAACGTGCGGCGCAGAAAATTCCCGATTTATTGCTGTGATGTTTTTCATAGCGCTGTGAAGAGTTCAATTGGTTTTCGTCAGCCGGCATGTCGAAATATAGTAAAATGGAGATGTAAAAAAACAGAATGAGTTTGAGAAACAATTTTTATTACGACTATGATTAAATTTTACTGATTTTCAGGTACTGATTTTCAGGTTCACTTCCGCTATCCATTATAGATTAGAGGTATAATTATATGTTCAAAAACAATTAATTTTAAAAAAATCAATAATTTACTGTAAGTCGTAAGAACATTGGTTTTCAGTGCATACACCGTTACGTAAAGTTGCACAAAGTTTGGAAAACCACTGAAAAAAGACTTTTGATACAGCAAGGAATCGAACCATGGCCGGTGGCGCGCCGTCCCGAAACACTACCCACTACTCCATGCGCGCGCTGACAGTTGGCGTATTGAAAGGCTGATATGAAGCACGCGCTGCCTCTCTTTTCTAAACAACGATTTGAACACATTTTATTCACATTTTTAGGTGGAAATTGAGATATTAAAAAAATGGGGGAACAGGTAGAAGTAAACTCGAACATGTATATTGTAGCAAATTTTTCGTAGAATCTGAATATGTAATAAAAATCTGCGACATCGACCTGCATTACCGTCAAAATTCGCAAAAACGTCTAAATTTTAGAACCATGTCATCTTTGGATGCGTTTTTTGCTAGCTCAAACTTTTTCAAATGTCATCAAATTGCATATCTGAACAGTCATAGAATTGATCTAAGTATTTTGATATTAAAAACATGGGGTCATCGCTGAAAAAAATTCACAATTTTTGCTTGAAGTTTGATGGATTACTGCAAAAATGGGGGAACTGCTGGCTAAATATGGCTTAATGCATCTTATTCACCATCTAAAAAAGTATTTAGAACAATCATAAAAAGAAGCGACATCGACTTTTATTACACTTTTCAGACCAAATTTCTCATGTCGATTTCTGTTTTTCACGAGTATTTTGAAAGTCGTTGGTTTTCAACGCAAACGCTTTACATCAGTCGATTTTACGTGTTTTTTTACATAACGAGACCAAATTTCATAAAAATCGGTCCATCCAGTCTCGAGTTCTACGCCTTCAAACATGGCAGATACCCCCCAAGAGAAAAAGAGAAAAAAAATTAGGCTCCGCCCCCTCGCGTTGCGGTGCCTAGTTATATATTCTGATTTTGTCGGTACTTCAAATACCTTAATTTTCAGACATATTTAAAAATGTTTTTGAATTTAAAATCGTCTAGAAAGTTTTGAATTTCGAAGTTAACATTCTTTCAAAATTCCTTTTTTAACTTAAGCTCTTGTTTTCTAAAATTATTTAAAAAATAAAAAAATTATTTTCAGAAAATTTTGTTCCCCAAAAAATTTCATCTTGTCTTCCTGATTTTTTCTTTGCGTACATGACTGCACAACATGTTTTTTCCAAATAATTCATTTCTCGTTCATTTTTTCAGAATTTTCAGAAACAAAAAAAAATGTCCAACGTCAGTAATATAATGAATATGGAAGCTGTGAAATCAGATTCAACAGTGGAAACTTTAACAACAATTCAATTATCCTATGGTCTTCCCAGTTTAGTTCTAATGATTAGTTTCTTGATTTTAATGGGTTGCTCTAAAACATATTCCAATTCTTTTTATCGATTGGTGCAGTTGGATTTGTTAACGGTAAGTTAAAAATTGGGGGAAACAATTTTTTGAATTTCTGAATTCTGAATTTTCGAATTTCAAAAGTTCCGAATTTTAGATTTTAGAATTTATTTAATGCCAGTCATCAAAAAAAAAATTTCCTGATATTTTGCCCAGAGAACCCCCATGAGAGGTTGAACATGATCGGACTCTCAGGGGTACAGCACCGCTACCGGCTGACAATGAGCTACGGGGGCGCGAAGGCGACGGCCGACCGATGGCCTACATAAGCGCGGCGCGAGTTCGTCTCCCAACTATTTGCTGTCTGCCCCCTTTTAAAATCACCAGTTTGCAAACAAATTTTGAACTTTTCGATATTCTTAAATTAGGACCTCAAAATTTTTGAACGATTGAAAATTTTTAAAAAATTCCAGAACATTCTTCTCTACTTCAACACTTGGCTTGGTATCCGTGTAGAAATGCATCCTGCTGCAGTTCCATTTCTGAAATTCATAGAGTCCACAATCCCCGGATTATTGAATTGGTTCAAATATTTGACTTGGTGGTTTATGCATATTCAGTTTTTGTGTGCAGCGAATCTGAATGTTCATAGAATTTCTTCCATATTTTTTCCAGCTAAATATGAAAAGGTCAGTGTACTTCTCTTACAGAATTTGGTTGGTTTTCGAACATCTCCAATAAAAATTCTTTGAAATCTAAAGTTCGGATTTTCCAAATTTCAATAGTTCCACAAATCCCTATAAAGTCTGTTATCTGTGAATTTTTATATTTTCATTTCCGAATCTTTCAGTTTCTCAATTTCTTTAAGTTTGAGAGTTTCTGGAATCCCCGAAGATTTGAATTTCAATTTTTGAAACTAGTTTTAAGCTTCAAATTAATCAAGTTTCAGTTCTGGACCCGTTACTATGCTCTTTTCGGATTTGCATTCTTCATTTATAGTTTTCTCCCAACTCTTTTTTGGTTCGGTTTCGCCAACGAAGTCAGTATTATAAATGGAACATTATCCAAGAAAAGAAATTCGGAGACAATTGTGAAAGCAACGAATGTGACAGCTGTATTTTCAGTGATTTATTTTGTAGTTATATTGGTTTTAGGATTGGCGACATCTATTTTGGTAAAAAGCAAAGTTAAAGGTAAGGATGAATTTTGTAAATCAGAAATCAGAAAATTCGAAAAATCAGGAAAAAAAACCAGAAGTTTGAGACTTCAGGAATCTAAAAAATAGTAAATTTGGAAACTCAGAATATCTGAAATTCAGAAATTCGGCAGTTCAGAAATCGGAAAATCCAGAATATTCACAAACCGAAAAATTCGGAGAAACGAGTATTCAGAAACTGAGAAACACTACAAAAGTCCTGAATATCGGAAAAAATTTTCTGATTCCCTGAGCTCTGAAATCTTAGGAACCAGAAATTTTTTGTTGAGTTCATAGATCCCAGAACATTATAGAATTTCAAAGACCTGAAAAAAATGGAATTCTCGAATCGAACATTCAAAAATCCAGAAACTGAATTCTTATTTTTACAGCCATCGGTTCAGCTTCCCATGAAAATATTGGCAAGAAACTGACAAGAATCGCATTGATCTACTGTTTCGTTTATACTGGAATTCTAATGTGGAGTGTTATAACTGCTCTAAATTCCAAAATGAATTTTCTACCGACATTTATTGTGGGAATCAATCAGAATTTGTTGGTTTTCTCCTCGGATCTGGTGAGCTACAGTAATGCTGATTGTCCACATTTGAAAAAAAAAAAGTACAGAAATTCAGAAATTTGAGAGTTCAACGATTCGGAAATATTAAAGTTCAGAAGTTGAGAAACTCAGAACGTCTGAATATCTAAAACCCAGAATTCAGGATTCATAAAGGAAACTCGTAATTTGAAAAGTTCTGGAATTCCTGGAAGTTCGGAATTTCAGAAGTTTGGAATTTTGACCATAAAACGTTGTATTTCATTTTCTACAAAGACCTCAAAAACTTAAAGTTGTATGTATTTAAAACTACTTCAGAGAAAATAAAAGGGAAAAATCGGTAAGATACGTTTCAGAAAATTCACAGAATTCAATTTTTTCAAAATCTACATTGCTCATCTCAAAAGTTTCCCAATTTTCAGATGACACTCTCGTTGCCTTATATTCTCATGATTTTCGACAGCAACGTTCGAAAACACGTCTTTCAAAGAAACACACCAGTCACATCTAATAATTTTGGTTTTACAAGTTTCCAGCGGTCCAGCTAGTTTTTGGAAATTCTCTTGTCTTACTGTCATTTGGTGTATTTTGTAACATAAATATTATGTTTTGAAAAGTAAAAGTTTGATTATTATCGTTAGATTTTCAAAAAAGTGCAAGAACAGTAGATCAAAATGTTTCAATGCCTAATCTCTGAAAACGGAACTGAAGAATTCGAATTCTTTGATTTTCAGAATTCCAGACAACATATTCCATATTTTCAGCATTTCCACCATTAGTGGATGTGTGGAGTTAGTCAGAGACAATTTTTCATAATTCTATACTATGAAGATTCTTATTTTTCTTTGGTTTCGTAGAATGGGAGATAATTTTTGAAGGTTGAGAAAATAAGGGAATAACAAGTGATTAGATGATAACAGATGAGAAATTTCATCTCAATCTCTAAATTTTTGATTACGGAATTTTTCATTTTTCAAAAATTCTGATTGTTTGGAATTTCTGAATTTCTGAATAGTCCCTTAAATGTTCTGAAAAGACAAGTTCTGCATATCTGTTACTTCCGACATCCTGGAACTGTTGAATTCTGGGATTCCAAATTTTTGTAATGTCCATTTCCCAGTTTTTGAAGTCCTGAAACGATGAAATTCTAATTTCTCAAAAAAATCTGGAATTTTAAGCAATTATTTTTTTTTCGAATTTCGAAGTTTCGACATCTCCTAAAATCCATTGCATATCACAAAAATTTTATATATTACTCATTCATTTTTTTCTCCCATCTTTATAGTTTGAAATCCCAGAGGAAACAATTTGATTCCTTGAAAATTTTGAATTTTTAACATCAGACTTCATTAATTAGAAAAAAGGGGCGGGGCTTATATAGAGTATATCTCGGATAATGAGTAATGAGTGCCTTTTCCTTTGAGAATTTATCCTTCCTCTTTGATGTTATTCGTATAGTTAAAAAGCATTTTTTTGCATATTTGTAATCCGGGCCTTTCCCGGGCCTTCGCGGTTCCTGCCATAGTTTCTTTCAGAATCAAAATTTTTAGACTAACTAAATTGGATATGATAGAGCTCGACGAGTACTACAAAATGGTATTATGCGGAATACTGTATCTTGTCTGCAAACAAAGTTACAGACCATAAAGATGCTTTTTTCGGACGTGCCGCGCCAGGTCGGGCCGGGCCTGCTTTTTTCGCTTTTCTTGCCTGTAACTTTGTTCCCAAACAAGATACACTTCTCTAAACAGTATCATTTTGTAGTACTCGTCAAGCTCTATCATATTTGATTTAGTTGGTCTAAAAAAATGATTCTGAAAGAAACAATGGCAAGGACCGCGAAGGCCCGTGAAAAGCCCGGATTACAAGTATGTTTTTTGGACTTTTGAGTTTTTCAAAAAAAAATGAAAAAAAATTTCAGAAAATCAAAAATGACCTCCAACATCGTGATAATTTCCATGGAAAAACAAAAGCCGGAAATTCCGTGGAGCACTGTTTTTCAGGCAATCTATGGTGGTGTTTGCCTCACTTTCATGGTTTTCTTCTTTTTCTACCTTGGATTTGTGAAACGGTACAACGCCCCATTCTACCGTATCGTACAACTGGACTTGTTTATTGTAAGTTTCAAATTATACAATTTCGATTTCTAAAAAACTTATGAATTTTTAGTTAAAAAAAGGCGTATGTCTTGAAATTTTACACATTTTGTTAGTTTATCACTTTTTCGTATTTTTAATGAGAAATGAGATATGTATACTTTAAATTAACAGTCTGTAGAAAAAAAATCTCGTCGTCTGGGCTCATTTTTGGAGGTACAAAAACTGGCAAAATTGGAAAATGTAAAAAATAAGAAATTCAGAAGTCCAGAAGTACGAAAACGTAGGCAACTCAACTTTGAAAATTTAAAAGAAAATCTTAAAACAGAAAAAATGTTTTTCGAAATTTTGCTTGTCTAGATTCAGAATTTCGAAACTCTTCCTAACACAAACGCGCTCTAATCCCAACTCGGTTTTTCAGAACATCCTCTGCTACCTCAACACGTGGATTGCAATTCGTTTGGAGCAGTTTTCAGCATGCATTCCTTTCCTGAAGGCATTGGAAGAAACGTGTCCAGGGCTTCAGACCATTTTCAGATACTTTACAAATTATTTTATGCATTACCAATTTTTGAGTGCTTCCTATATGAGTGTTCACCGAATTATGGTTATGAAAGGTGAAATAAGAGGGAAGAATGTGAGTTTTTTTGAATCACGGTAGACATTTTGACGGGACGTTGTATAGTGATTAGTGCTCACGAATAGTTTTATCATATCGATAAGCCTAGCTTCTTCCGGTACCGTAGTTCAGCTGGTAGCAAAGTACGAGGGTGGGCCCACATAAAACTTCTACTTTGGACCGTCGAAAATCGGAGACCGACAGCCGACCGAGCTGACCGATCGTTGAGCGCATCGACCAAATTCGTGCATTTCAGCGTCAAGTGTTTGCGGGAGCAGTTTACAAAGTCAAAAATTTATCGTTCGTCGTGAAAAAGAGAGCTGCGTAAGCAAACACTTTCTGGAACGTTAAACCAAGAATGCACGGTTTCGGTCAGCTTGGTCGGGTATCGGTTGGCTGGGTCAACGATCGGTCGGAGAGCTAAATTTCCCGGCCGAATCTAAACATTATGACCACAAGTTCAACTTCTCGAGAGGCATATGTGAACAAAATTAAAAAAAAAATTTGTTTTCCCCTCTTCTTTAAACGAAACATGTTCCAGTTCTGGCGCCGATGTCTTCTCGTCTTTATCTGTTTTGCTACTGTCTACAGCTGCTCTCCAAATCTCATTTTCTACCGCGGGTTTCCAACAAAAGTGGCGATTGTAAATGGAGTCTTGTCAAAGGTCCGAAATGTGGAAATGTACAATACAGTGCTCGATGTAACCGCGATTCTTTCTGTTATCTATATGGTCATAATGATTGGTCTCGGAGTGAAATCCGTGCAATTAGTCAAGGAGTTTGCTAGTGAGTTTTGGGAGTAGGTAACTATGTAAACGTTGGTATATATATATATATTTTTTTTTTTTTTTTGAAAAAAAAGATCCGAAATGATTAAATTGATAGCTAGAGAAGATCGTGAAGTGTCATATTAGCTTTAAGGTCCTTAAAACTTCAATATTCAGAATACGCAAGTGCCGGATCCATTGCCAAAACCCTCACACGTGTCACTGCTGCCTATGGTTTTCTCTACTGTGGTATCCTTGCCTGGAGTGTTCTCACAAGCGTCGACAACAATTTTTCCTTCTTCCCAGATTTTGTTCGAAGCAAAAACACTATTCTGTTGGCATTCTCCAGTGATGCGGTGAGTTTAGTTGCTCTACTGCACATTATTGAACTGTAGTTAACTTTAAGACAGTTTATCTCCGTTTGTGTAAGAAATATCAGGAAGAGGACAATTGATAAAATGCTTATCATAATATCATAAACATTTTGTCAGTTGACAACATTTAATTAGCTTTTATACCAAGCGAAATAATTTAGCTTGAAATTTGGGGATCCGTGTTTGAAGGTAACCATTTTCAAAATGTTACGATTTTTTCAGATGACCCTCTCCCTACCATTCATCCTCCTTGCATTCGATGGAAACGTCCGCGGTCATCTTCTGCGTAAAGTATATTCAGTGAGAGTATCTACTGTTTTGCTCTAGATGTGAAAAATAGACGAGTAAGACAAAACATTCATAAGCTATAGAAAAAATGAATTTGTATAATGAAGTACATTTGAAATTCTACTAGTCACTGCGTATTGAAAAAAAGTCAAGTTGCAGATCAACCGACAAATCTGCAACTCCAAGCAGATCAACTGCCGAACCCAACAACCCACATCTTTCATTTTCCTACACATTTACGAAATGAACTTCAACTATATCTCTTTGACTTTCGTAAAATCTTTGTTTCCTACCAGCAGCCGCCTCGATTTTTGAACTTTCAAAGGATTAACCAAAACGTATCCGTGCCCTCTAGTTAAATGCACTTTCAGAATCTATACACCTTCAACCCGACCATTTAAGTTTTAAATATAGCAATCCGAACCTGAGTGAATCGAAGGAACTCCCTGAGCATCACCGGGTGCGTGTCACCACTCCGTCTGACGCATGTTGGTTTCTCTGGATACCAGATGATCACAAAACACAGAAATGAAGTATGATGCACATGAGCGTAATTTTGAGAACAAAGTAAAAATATGAGACAGATTATTGGAACGGGTGGCTAGAAATTTTGGCTAGAAATAGTGACTAGAAGGGTGGCTAGAAATAGAAACGTTAGATGTTTATTGTTGGAGATTGTTATAAAAATGAAAATAAATTGTTGTGAGAAATTTTTTGATATCTAGAATTTCTAAAATTTCAGAATTTTTGTATTTTCAGGACCTTTTGAACATTTCTGAAATTTCAAAATATTGAATTTTTCAAAATGTCTGAACGTCGTAATTTTATGAAAATCCATTAAAAATGTCGAAATTATATAAAATTTCATTAATATTCATAGAATTCAGGAAATTTAGAATTTTTTGAGTTTTGAAACTCCTAAATTTAAGAAGTTTCAAAATTCAAAAGACATTTCTGAAACTTCGCAATAATGAATTTTTCGAAATGTCAAAACTTTTCTGAACTTTTTAGATTTCATTTGTGTAATTTTATGAAATTCTTTAAACTTCGTAATTTCTTTAAAAGTTCTGAAGTTCTAAACTTCTAAAATTATGAATTTCCAGGACCAATTTTCAGGATTTTTGAAATTTGAAAATTTGAAATTTTTTCGAAATGTCTGAACTTTCCAGAATCGCAGAAATATGCTTTAGTTTTCGAGAATTCAGAAAATTCAGAACTTTTAAATTTTCGAGATTATGAATTTTCAGTAGCATCTAATTTTCTGAAATTATAGAATGATTCTCAAACCGTTAATTTTGAGCCCGTATATCTCATTTTCTGTGAAAGATATCAAAAAGTGGTAAACTAATAGAATGTTGCTGATATCATGATAAAAATTTCACTAGTTGACAACTTTTTGATATCTTTCAAAAGAAGTGAGATATTTAGGCTCAACGTGTAAGGTCTGGCGTTCTATTGGAGTGTTTACGGTATCTCATTTTTTGTACAAGATATCGAAAAATGATCATCTGGTAAAACGTTACTGTTCTATACAATAACTATTTCTCAGTTGATTTTCGCGCTCTGTCATGCACTCCGCCACGTCATGCATATTGATTTGGCGCCCAGGACGCGGCGACAGGCAGCAAGAGCAAACAGTGTCTCGTTTCTCTGACGTCTTGTCACCATTATGATTCTCTCTCCTATCCCCCTTTTATTCTTTTATAGGCCACATGTTCCCCCCTCGTGTGGGGTTCGCATCGACTCACATCATTTTGTTCTGATTCCATACATTTCCGTTCTGATTTCGTCTTCTACCAACTCTCTTTCGAATTTACAAATCTTTCCCTATTTCCAGTTTTCCACCACCCGCCTTCTACATTCAAAGCAGTGACGATAATGAGTAAAAAAATTAATAGTAATGAAGAAGAGAAATCAATTCGTTTGGTCAACGAAGCTGACGTCGACAGGTGAGAATTTTTCCAGTTTTGAATATAAACGAGAACATCAATTTTCAGCTCGTTGACCACCACTGAATCGTCCATTAAGCCTACCGACGTCGGATGGTGTTTTTGACGCCCCCCAAGGTGCACTTCAAAAATTGCTCAAAAAAGCTGAAGAAATTGTATCGTCCGTCTCTCCATCCTGGCAAGTTGGCAACGTCGACGAGAAAACTCTTGCGTTGAAGATTCCTCATGACCAACCGGCGCTTGGAAACTTGAGGAGAAATTTCGTCGATGTCTTGGAATTCGCTGAAGACCAATTGGGTCTGTTTCTAGAATTTCAGCTTCCTAACTAAATAACCCTTTTCCTTACTTTCAGAAATGAATCGCGTTCTGGCTGTTTTCGAGAAGTCTCGGGTCAAAGCAACTGAGGGATTCCCACGTACGCTTCGCTATGTCGGATTCCGCCCCTACGCCATCAACAATCATCCAGCTTCGCTTCCAGCCGACAAATACTTCATTATGAGCTACAAAGTCTAAATTCCACTTCACCGGCTCGTCTTGAAAAATAACAGATTCTTTGCTTTTCTCTCGTTTTATTGCCGCTTATTTTATTTCCCCCCTCTCTCTTGGCAACTTTTAAAAACTTCCAAAAATCAAAAGCCATCATTTCTTCTGTCTCTCGAATTTCCTTTTATACATACTTGTAATCCGGGCATTTGCCGGGGCTTCGCGGGCCCTGCCATAACTTCTTTCAGTATCAATGTTTTCGAACCAATTCAATCAGGTATGATAGAGCTTCACGAGTACTACAAAACGGTATTATTTGGAATACCGTATCTCGTCTATGAACAGAGTTACAGAGCAAAAAGAACAAAAAAAACAGGCCCGCCCCGGGCCTGCCGGGCCCTGCGAGAAAAGCCTTTTTATGATCTGTAACTTTGTTCATAGATAAGATACAGTATTCCAAATAATACCGTTTTGTAGTACTCGTGGAGCTCTATCATATCTGATTTAGTTGATTCGAAAATATAGATTCTGAAAGAAATTATAGCAGGGCTCGCAAAAGCCCGGCAAAGGCCCGGATTACAAGTATGCTTT